CCGTGATGATGTTATGGAAGCAGTTAAGGATGCCTGGGAGAACTACAAACCTGAAATAGAAATTCAGCAAATTGGGTTGGACCGGGATGAAGTCCTCGATTGCCTCAAAGAAGGGTTGCAACAGTACACGCCACAACACGAGACACCTCCGAGTGTAACTAAAGATGAAGTATTCCAAGCAGTTGTCGAAGCGCTGAAGCACTTCGAGCCACCACAAGTAGACATTCCTGCTGGGCTTTCTCGAGATGATGTCTTCGAGGCTGTTAGAGAGTGCCTCGAAGACTTCGAATTCCCGATTGCCCCTTCGACCAATGATCTAACCCGTGAAGACGTTCTAGACGCTGTCAAGGAAGGTCTCAGCTCGAACCAGAGCACAGCCCTTGTACCTCACGGCGGGGAAAGCCCTGATATCATGGAACGCCTCCACGACATCATGCAACACATGCGGGATGAATTTAAAGCTGTGTCGGAGGAAGCGAAGCAGAACGTGGCTGCAAATGGAAGAGATACTGAACAGCTCTTGGATGCTACCAGAGATGGTCTTGATCAATTACGAACTCATATGGAAGGCTATGTCGACAAAGCCATTGGCGCTTCTAACCAGGAAGAACTTATGGCAAATCTTGAGAACGGGTTCGAACAGCTGCGCGAACACATGGAAGAATATGTTGACAAAGTTTCCGGTGTTTCTGATCATGAAAAACTTATGGCCAATATCACAAATGGCATGGAGCAGCTGCGTGCACAAATGGGGGGCAACACCGACAAGGCCCCCGATGCTCCCAGTGCTCCCGGCCATGAGGAGCTTCTATCAGCGCTTACCAGTAACTTCGAGCAACTCCGAACGCACATGGAAGGTTACGTTGATAAGGCTTCCGGTGCTTCAAATCAAGAGGAGCTCATGACCAACGTTGTTAGCAGCTTTGATATATTCCGAGAGGAGGTGGCCGAGCTTGTAGCAAAGGTGTCAGATGGTTCTAGGGACTTGATTAAACAGGAAATCGAGTCTCTTCGGGATACCGTCAACTCATCTCTCGTCCCTCATGTCCCACAAATGAGCGACAATAGGGATGTGATGGAAGCCATTCGGGATAGTATCGAAAGGATACGTGGAGAACTCCTTCGCCCTCACGCAGGAACTACTGATATCCTTGATGCTTTACACGAAGGGTTTAGCGATCTACGAATATGCATTGAGAAGATGAGCGATAAACCGGCGGATCTAACTGCCAATGACGAAATTCTTGACGCTCTTAGGTCAGGTCTAGATGGTGTTCGGACGAATATCGACTCCCTTCGCGATAATAACCAAGAAAGGGCTATCACCACTGTAGGCGCTGTTCCGAGCGACGCCCTCATTCCTGCCGACCTTGCCAAACACGACGACATAAAAAACCTCGAGGTTATGATGACACAGCTTAGGGTCAAGATGGAATCTTTGGAAGCACCCCCACCCCCACCAGCGCCGGAGGGGCTATCAAAAGATGACCTAGCAGAGCTAGAAGAGATACTTAAAAACAGCGTATCCAAAGAGGATTTGAACGAAATAGAAGAATTACTTCGAAGTATGCAAGAATCGATGACTGGATTGTCGAGTGTTAGAGACATTGGAAAAGGCTCTGCAATGGATGTCGAGAAAGAACGGGAGCCACCACTTAACCTAGACGATGCCGCTACGAAAGAGGATGCGCATGCGATCGAAACAATCCTTCGAAACACCAAGGCCCGCCTAGATGACCTAATCGATGGAGACCAAGTAGTCAAGAAAGATCAAGTCGATACGCTGGAGGCTCTCGTGCTCGAAACGAAGGATTCCTTAGCAACCATGGCTGGTCAACTAGATGCAGTTTCTAAAAAGGAGGATCTGCTTTCAATTGAAACCCTCGCAGCCCAGATAAATGCTGCGCTAGATGAGATGAAAGAGCGTGCTGAGAAGTCCCTCCAAGATCCTGAAAAGGTCACCAAGACCCACGTTGCTGCGGTTGTAGCGACTCTTCTTGAACTCAAATCGACTGTCGATGAGATGATCCAGCCCGGTATTGCAGCGCTTCCCTCGAAAAACGACATCAAGAATCTTGAAGATACTATCAAAGAGTCCAACGCAAAGGCCTTTGAGCAGCAACAAACAGAGACTGCCGGTGTTGGCGAACGAGTCGCAGAAGTCAAGACCTTTTTAGAAGAATTTCAGGGCTTGATCAAGGAGAGACTGCAGGCCGGTGGGAATGCTATTGAGTCCCTAGGTAAGATCCTTGAGGGTCTCAGCGAAACGGTACACAAGAATGCCGACGTCGGCAGTAACCTAAAGGAGATGTTCGACTTGGTGAAGTCGGAATTCGAGGAATCGAAGAACAGTATGGTAGGTGCCAAGCTAGACACCGATGAGAAGTTCAAGGAAACTACCCAAGTGCTGGGAAGCAAACTTGACGAGAAGATTGGCGAACTTGTGATGAGATATGATGAATTCCAGCTCGTTATGGAAGATCGGACAAAGGCTTCAGAATCGAGAGATGGCGAGATGAAGGCCGCTATGGTCAATACAAATACCGTCACGGAAGAACTCAAGGTACTAATTGACACCCTTGGCTCAACTGTTACCGGCTCCCTCGAAAAAATGGAAGAGGCGTCAAAAACAGTCTTTGACAAAGTCGAGACACTCTACAGCAAAACGGAAGACAACCACACCGCAGATAAGGCGGAGCACCAAATAACTCGAGATCATATCCAGCAAGCCATCAGTGCTGTCGAGGGCCTCCAAGGTCATGTAGGTGATTATCAGCCAAAGATTCTCGATTCGATCAAGGAAGTGCTCCTCACTATTGGACAACATTATGAGCATTCTAAGAGCTCCGAGACTAGCATCCTGCAAAAGATCGAAGATGCCAAACCCGAGAAATATGATGATAGCGCAGTACAGTCGAAGCTTGCTAAGTTAGACAGCGACATACATTCTATGCGAGAGAATCTGGACAACGAGATGCATATCAAATTGGATAAGCTGGTCGACCATACGCAGACTGCCGATAAAGCGTATGCCCAGCTCGATACTCTCGACAAAGTACATCAGCAGGTTGTTAAGACAGCTGCCGACATCTCGGAGTTTCTTTCGTCGCAAAAGCAGCGTATTGAAGACGAGAATGAAGAGCGTGCAAAGACACTTCAAATAACGACTATGCAGTTAGAACGGCAGAAAGCTGAGCAGGACCAGGTCGAAACCAACTTAGCATACCTACGAGACGAAGAGGCCCAGCTCCGCGAATCAATCCTCGCCCTAAGGGCCGAACAAGACTCCCTGATCCGTCAAAAGACTCGATTAACAGCGGATGTTTCTTCTCTCGAGACTGCTCTACATCTTCGCCGCGAGGAACTTCAAGTAATGGATGCCCGGGCCGAGGGTCTGGAGCGTAGGATACTTGAGGGTGTTTTAGACCATTCCCGTGCTCTACTTATGACGAAATCCGGGTTTAAAGGCCGCGAGGCTATGAGCCGCAAGCGTGTCCCCGGTGCTCGATCCAGTTTAGAGCCTAACGATGACTCCAACTCCAACCCAAAGCAGTCTAAGCCTCGCTCAGCAGTCAACATAGCAATCAATGGTGGTAGAGCAAGTCTCGTCCCGCAGAACTCGACAGGTACTGGCCGCCGAATTCTAAGCCTCAGCCAAATTACTAACAACGTCCCTGCTGGTGGCATTAAGCGTAGCCAGAGCGTTCGTACCCCGGCTGGTGCGGCGTTACGGAAGAGCAGCTGGGCGCCAGGGAAAAATGGCGCCGGTAAAGGCTACGGCGACCTGAGTGTAAATAAAGAGAATGTCGATGCAGTGCGCGAGAGTGACGAAGAAGCACGTGAGGATTCGCCTCTGTCTGAGCCGGAACCCGAAACGCCGACACCCATGGAAGACGAAACTGTAGTCATTGCTGCCGACGAGGACACTCCGGGAGAAGACGAAGACGGCGAGGATGCTACAGAAATACCACCGGAGGCTGAAGAAGAGGATATAGATGAAGTAAACGAGACAGGGAGCGAGGCCGGAAGAACCGTCATCACAGGCGCAGAAGCGGAGGATGGGTATAACAGTGAAGATCAAGAAGGGTCTCAAAGTGAGTGGACCGAAACTGCCTTAGGCCCGGACAGCGTCTCATTGGAAAGCATAGATGACGCCGATAGCCTCACGGGCGAAGGCGGTATTGTCATGTGCAATACATGATGAAGTTATCGGACTAGCGTAGCGTAGTGGTGCGTCGCGCTCAAGCTTTTTGGAAGCCTTTAGGGAAGGAGAATCTGAATTGGTCGGAGTACGACGGGGTGGGGTTTATCTGCTTCGTCATGTCTTTGGTTGTGTTATGTCTGTTCCTTGGTTCATCATATTTGTTTATGAAGACGAGATGAGAGGACCATGCTTATGGGGGATGAACGTATGCCTTTGGTAATGCTTGCTTGCCTGTCTTTGCCGTATATCGGGGGCCTCGCAGGCGGGAGTGAACGGTGTAAGGAGGAGGAAATGAGGATAGGAAAGGGAGGAGAGGGGGGAAGGGAAGGTTGGAAAATGAAGTTTCGTTTTCCCATTTCCTTAATAATACCTTTTGTCGTTTGCGTTATTGTTATTTTTAGTTTATTTTCTTTCGGAAGAGAAACTGTGTTTTAGACTACGTCTGCGAAACTTAACGCTTTTAGTGTAGTTCAGGTCAAGTACTTCTTCAATGGAAATCGAGGCATGGGACAGACGCTACTTCGTTCATATGGGGCAGCGGGGTTTGCTTGACTGACTCGTATACCATTAACAGGTACCTACCTAACCTACCTTATCTATTAGTTAGTAACTTGCTACTTGGAAGAGAAGTTGAAATTGGTCATCACGAGTAGCAATAATAGTAGTAGTAGTTGTTGTTGTGTGTCATGCGAACGAGGAGGAGCGGATGCAATGAGACTTTTATAGTGTAGCGTTATATATTATATGTATACCCATGGTAATGATGAGACATTTATAGATACATACATGAATCAATCACTCCTAACAAGTGGTTTTTGTCTTTTGTCCTACCTTGTCAATAAAAGACGTAAGTTGAGATATATCGATATGTAATGTCCACGCCACGCTCGTGTCCTGCTATTTACTCCCCGATCGCGTGTGTGTAAGGGACACTCAGTATAGATAGACACTGTAGATAAATATATAACCTAGGTAATAGTACAAAAAGCGTAACCCAGCCCGTTTACCCCTTTTAATGTTCGAATTCCCAGGACTAACTATCTTTTTACAAAGTTAAAGCTTAAGGTTATTGTTTTGCCGAAAAGACGTATCGACGACTTGGGGTCCACATAGAAAAGGAAAAGGACCTTGTTATGTAACAGCAGCTTGATGTTTCAACCCAATCTTCTCTTTTCCATCCATCCACGGCCGAAGACATTCGGGAATATCAACCGTCATCTCCGCCTCGTCCCATCCGTTCTCCAGCACCGCGGCTAGGACGCGGGGAACAGCGAGCGCAGTGCCGTTGACGGTCCAGGGATACGTATATTTGCCACCGGCACCAGCCGAGCCGCGCAGTCGCGTAGCAAGTCGGCGGGCTTGGTAATCAGTGCATATGCTGGCACTCGTCACCTCGCCCCAGCCGTCACGGTCCGGACCGCGGCGGCTCGGGAAGAAAGCCTCGATGTCGCATTTGCGGGTGGCGGATGCGCCGAGGTCGGTTGATGGCATTTCAAGCACACGGCACGATAGGCCTAGCCCCTGGAGGATTTCAGTCTGTAGGTCGAGCATCTCGTCGAAGACCTCAGCGGTGGCATTCGAATCAGGTGGCGTCCACGCGAACATCTCCACCTTGGTGAACTCGTGTACGCGGTACAAACCCTTGGTGTCGACGCCACGGGCGCCCGCTTCTGCGCGGTAGCATCGCGACACACCGATATATTTTATAGGTAGGTCAGCCTCTTCCAAGATTGTGTCGGCCTTCATGGCGGCGAGTGGGATCTCGGCGGTACCTGCGAGACAGAGTTCAGGCTTTCCGCGCTGGGCATCGGCGGCAGACTGGGCTAAATTGTAAACCTGCTGCTCGCCGTTCTGGTCGCGCGGCTGGAACCCACAGGCTGCGGCGATGTGGCTGTATACGATGCTTGGCGGGGCGACCTGGTGCCACCCAGAGCCCTGCTTGGTCACGACGGCAAGCGCATAGTTGATAAGTGCCTGTTCTAACTGAGCGCCTTCATCTATTAAATAGTACCACCCCCAACCGGACGTTGTTGCGGCGGCGGTAAAATCAAGTAGGCCTAATTCAGACCCGATGTGCACATGGGATCGCCATACACGATCCGACGAGGAGGGTGTCGGTTCCGGCTGCTCATTGATGTAGCTAAGAACGCGGGGCTCATCTCCAACGGGAGTTTTAGGGCTAGTTAGGTTAGGAATGGCGAGCGCAAGCTCTGTCATTTGCGCCTCGAGACGGGCTTCATCTTCTTCAATGGATGATAGCTTGTCCTTAATGGTTCGGGCCTCTTCGATAAGTTGCTCTTTCGACATGGCTTTAATATCCCCGTCTGTAGCCGTAGCACTCGACTCTGCCTTTCCCGATCCGGACTCAGTCTCCTCGTCCTCATGCTGTATAGTAGCAGGATTTGCGATTTGTCGACGCAAGGCATTGCCCCTCTCGCGCATGCTACGGCTATCCCTCTGTCGAGTTTGCCATTGCGCAAATAAGTCAATGATGCGGGCGGGATATGTGCTTTGGGCCTTGTAATTTCTTTCAAGACATGTCTGTTCGTATAGGGCTGGATTCTGCCGGATATGTTTGATATCAATGTTAGCCTTAGGGGCCGTGGGAGGTCGAGACAAGATGGGTATGTCGTCGGAACCGGGAGTTGTACTAGCAGAGTTGGTGCTAGATTTATATCTAAAGGTTGAGGTAGAAAACAGACGTGCCGTCGCAGAACCTCGTAGGAGGCGCTGTCTTCTCTGAGGTCCAACTAGTCGACATTGGAGGCACACAAAAGGTGTCCTCGGTGCCTTGATCATGGCTACGGAGTTGCGCAATAGTTGTTTTCTCGCATTGAGTAATATGAGTAATATCTCCCTCTGAATGTTAAATGTTGAAGTGGCAAAAATTGAAGCGTCGTTCGATTCGCGAATCTTTTTTTGGAGTAGCTTCAGCTCCCCGCATTTTGCAGGGGTAGCTCCTGCCCTCCACGTCCTGACGTCCTTTATGTACGGATTACTCCGTCGTCATATCCACGGATAAGGTACCCAGTTACATGCGTGTACCACAAAAACATGCCTTATAGTACTTAGGTACTTGGACAGGTATAAGTCTGCCTACATACATAATAAGGTCGATATCATCTACACGGAGATCCAGTTGCACTAAAACTCAGGAATAAACCTAGGTAATTAAGCTGTAGCATGTTGATAATCTTCATCAGAATTCCATGTTAAACTAATACGTGTCAGGGTATCTCCTACAACCAATATCCCGTGCTAATTTGCTTAGATAGCCCCCCATATTCCCAGAGTCCAACCACCGGCAGCCTGCGAGGCTTGGCCTCTAACCAATCCCCCGGCGCCCATGCTCTGCCTCTGTTGCGCCTTAACGTCCACTTCGTTAGGTCGACATGCACCATTAACTCCCTGTTGAAGCCAATATTCGCGCTCGACTGTGGCCAGAGCCGGCACCTTGAGCTGCGCCGCTAAGCTTGCTCCGCACCAAGCACCTAGCGAGTCTATTACCCGAAGCGTGCCTTGTACAGCCGGCTTGTAGTTTCTCTCCTTATTTATATTATCCTCCACGTGATCGACGTCAGGGGGCGCATATGCTGGATTTATAGGTGGTGCTGCCTCTGCTTCTTCCGTACCGCTACTACTTTCGGTCACAACCACCGCGGGAGTAGGACCTTCACCAGACTGTCGACTACTGTTCCGTCGTAGATTTGGATTTGCTTTGTATTGGTCATACGCCTTTCCCCTGATCGGATCCCAGCCTCTCTCTTTGGCCAAAAGTGATACTTCGTCAAAAATGCGCCCCTTAAGTCCGATAATGTTGGAACAGCCACCCGCGAAGATGATGCGCGCCATGCAAACTGCGCGGACATCCAACGGCAACTGCAATAGAGCCCGGTAAGCTAACAGAGGTACGGGAAGCTCATGGTCATCAAAGCAAGAAGGCGAAATGTTAGGTTCAAAAAACACCGCCTCGCAGGGTTCGGCTAGCTCCGCAAACGGAATTTCCACTGTCTTTGGAGGCTTAGGGGACTTGAGTTCTACTGCGACAGGTACGCGGTCATCAGCCGGCGCTGCTGTTTCGGATTCGTCCTGCTCGTGGAGCGTTGGGAGACCCTCGGTGGTATCCTGTGATACCTGATTTACGACCCCTTTACACCACAGCATGCGGGTTGCGAACTCCTCGCATTCCTCAAAGCTTACAATGTTTTCCTCCAATTTATACTCGGTACGCTCGGCGCGGGCCGTGGCTGGTCGTCCTCGAATAATATTACTTAGAAACTGGTACGTTTCCTCCACCAAGAGTTTGCCGGCTCTGATAGTCCTCCAAGTATGCACCTCTCTAAACTCATAAACAGCAGTGACGGTCGTCTCATGCCAGCCAATGTTGATCACTAGGGCTGATCGGGTACCTGCGGCCATGGTGGACATGACTGGCGACGAAAGAAGGGATATGGAAGGGATCTGAAAGCGAGTAAAGATTGTATCGAAAACTGAAGAGATTAGTGGTATGGGCAGCGTCGGTGGCAGAACTAGACTTATTCTCCTTGGGCGGGAATCAATGAGTAGAAATCTATGAGCATGCATGTTAACTGAAGCCAGCCAAATGGGAGCATTGAAGGGAATTAGCCCACTTGGTGAAAGCCTCTCTAAGCTCACGTTCGAGCTTATCCCCAACAAGACCAAGATCCTTCCCTCTCAAATCCAACTGCCACAGCTCGTGATCCGAACCCCAAGGCTTCCCGGCAGCTCTATGGCGCCAGTCATCCTGATAACCAGCTTCCCAAGCCCTAAAGTCTCCGGCACGCCTCTGCTGCTCTAGACCAAACGACGCGATCCTCTTTGGGGCCGCATCGCCCCCAAAGCCAATACGTAGTTTTCGCGAACCTAATTCGACGACTAAAACCTCATCGTCGGCGCGCAAGGTAGAGGGCGATCCGAAGGCGGAGGGAACAACGGAAGCTCGCGGAGGGGTATGAGGGGTATGAGGCGTAGGTGGGAGTGCCTGAGTTGATGTGCGGTCGCCGGCACGTATGCTGGACACAGCCCGGTGAGGGAGACTGGGGCCTGTGCTCGACGACATTGCTATTTATGTATGTTTACTCTCTATACATATTGGCAATGGAATTGGCTTCGTGGGTTTATTCGTGCGTAAGGTTTGTTTCGTTTGTGTCTTGACAAGTTGTGGGAGATGCAGCTGCAACGCCTTATCTTAGGTACCAAAGTTTATCGAAATTATCGAAATAATCGAAACGATCGCTAAGTTAATATGCATATGCACCTAGGTATTCATATAAAGGTAGAGCTAGCTAGGGGTCCATGCGTCTATGTAGCTCCATTTTTAGTATGAGCACCCTTGCATGTGCATCGTTGCCAGTGGATACCAACACCGTCAAAAGTCAATATTTAAGTTTTACCCTTATGAATGACTACATAATCCGTACTAAGGTACATGGTATGTATCGTATTGCATCGCCCAAAACGCCAAAACGATCCCACCTTTACGCAGGTTACAATCTTTCCATTTGTTAATCAATTTTACTCCTTAGTGGTTAATGGTTGAGACTGGCAATTCATGGCTAGATAGCCCGAGACATCAATTCAAACGGTAGAATTTCGCGATGGGGATTAAAGGGTCAGTACCAAAACATTATAAATACCATTCACGAGCATTGCACTGATAACAAAATAAAATAGCATATATAAAGAAATTGGCACCGGCAAGCGAATAGCGCTTACAAAGCTTGCTGTCGAGAAGCTTGAAGAGACTGGTCGCCCCTTGCGTATAGCTATAGACATCGCTATATGGCAATTCCAAGTCCAAGCAGGCCGAGGTGGTTCTAACCCCGCCGTTCGAACATTATTCTACCGGCTACTCCGTTTGCTTGGCTTATCTATACAACCCATCTTCGTTTTCGACGGGCCTAGGAAACCCGTATTCAAGCGAAACAAGCGGTCTGGTCGAGGTGATGGCGTTGCTACAGCTATGGCCAAGCGAATGATTAGACTGTTCGGGTTTCAAGTCCACGATGCTCCCGGAGAAGCAGAAGCCGAGTGCGCGCTGTTACAGCAAACTGGCATCGTCGATGCCGTACTCAGCGAGGATGTCGACACCATCATGTTCGGCTGCACGCGGACACTAAGGAATTGGTCGTCCGAAGGTACGAGAGGAAGTAAAACGCCTACTCACGTCTCCATGTACGACACCCAAGGGTTGTTAGAAAGCGGCGCCGGTCTGGATCGGGAAGGGATGGTCCTAGTTGCACTCATGAGCGGCGGTGACTACCTCCCGGAAGGAATTCCCGGCGCCGGTATCAAAGTAGCTTGCGAAGCCGCCCGAGCAGGATTCGGCAAGGCTTTGTGTAGACTGAAAAAGTCAGATACGTCTGAAATATCCAGCTGGAAAGAGTGGCTGGCCTACGAGTTACAACACAACGAGAGCGGATTTTTTAAGACGAGGCACAAAGCTTTATCCATACCCGAGGATTTTCCAAATATCGACGTTCTCAGATACTATACTCACCCGGTAGTATCCCCCGCTTCGACACTCGAAAGATTAAGACAACTACAGTGGGATCAGCCGGTTGACATTCAAGGGCTACGAGAGTTCGTTAGAGAAACCTTTGATTGGAGTTATCGAATAGGGGCTATCAAGTTCATAAGGGTTCTAGCACCGTGTTTGCTGGTGCGAAAGCTGATAACACGGAGCACTCGCGGTGATCGTGATACCGATTCCATTGAGATTCTAGAGAAACAGGAGTCGGAACTGGTAAAGTCGATCACAAGTAGACGTACCCATTTCAGTACGGATTCAACGCCAGAACTACGTATATCTTTCGTGCCAACCAAAATAGTCGGTTACGATTTTCAAGAAGAACCGGATGAGGCCATCGACTATGGACGAGATGGTCTAGCGCTCAATAGCGATGAGGAATTCGAACCTACGGCGGAAGATGGAGCGGCCGGGAAGACCAGTAAGAAACCATTTAATCCGGTCGAACCTGACCTATTCTGGTTGCCAGAAACCATAGCAAAACTCGGAATACCTCTTACAGTTGAGGACTGGGAAGAAGCCCAACGTGCCAAGTTGGCGCCTCGTCAGAAGGCTAAGGCCCCAAAGCAAAAGAGTAAACCCGCGGGTACCACTTCTAGGGCATTAGACAAGTTCGTCAAAGTTACCAAGAATGTCCCACGAGATACAGAAGCTGGTAAAAATAATACGCCGGTATCTCCTGCACCTTCTCGGATTAGAAGTCCACTTGGTGTTTCTAGGATACCTTCGCAGAGCTTAGCTCCCCCTGCTCCAACCAGTAAGACGCCTCAAAAAACGCGGCCCACGAGATCCAGTAAGCAGACCAAATCTAATTCCACGGCCAGGAATGCATCCCCAACACCAAGGCCGGATGCGAGTACCAATCCCTGGACGATTGCGAGTTCACACGTCAATTCCAGGGCTCCCAAGGCCAAGTCTACGAAAGCTTCTGAGGCCATTATTATATCCTCTAGCCCACCTACGTCGCCTAGCCCGATCCATCATTCCACAACACAGGGTCCAGATAGTCACACCACCGGAAATATCTCTACAACATCTCTTTCTTCAACTTCAAGTTTAGGTCCTCGAAAGCGGCGTCCTACCACGCCGACAAAGATAGATCAGATAAGCGACGGGACATTAAACAGTCACCGTAATGTAGGAAGAGCCCTAAGTCCGTCGCCGAAGTCGAGTGAGAAGAAACCCCATCGCAAGCTAGCCAGGACGGAATCACTGCCTGTGGCAGAAAGCCCGCGGCAGCCACCCACAGGAAGTAAGAATGGGACACGTCTATTCGAGCGAGCACGCACTATGATAGTCGAGGCCCTACCACTCTCGGACTCGGAAGGCGAAGAGGACGAATTCGATCTTCCTCCATTAAGTACCGTCGTTAGCAAACTCCCCCTCGGGAACAAACCATCTACCAAAACCAACATAACAGAAAAGCGAGTATCTCGAGTCTCAGAGTCAAAAGAGACGAAGCAGCAGCCGGAGAAAGACAAGAATAGACAGACAACTCTAAACAACACCTTCACCGCAACTAAAAGGATGACTAAAGTATACGCACCTCGTAAAAGCGAACCTGGATTTTTCACAGAAGTTGAGGTCGCGGCCGACGAGGCCGATGACCTGCTATTGAGATTTAGGGGCGGCGATCCTACACGGAACGGCACCGGTCGGGGAGCAGCGGCATGGCGTCGTAGTGATATTTCGTGCATCGACCTGACGGGTGAGGATTGATTTCTCTATCATACACACTTAACCTAGGGGAGTATTGCAGGCGTACTTTTCGAGGAAGAAGAAGTGAAATTGCATTTCAGGCTACAAGCAGCGGTTGGTCTCGGCGGCGTTTGCATTGCATACATACACGTAGCATTGAATAGAATACAAGGCAGAATGGAATATAGATGATGATAGGAAGGGTTACTTAATCCAAGATGAATAGATCATGGTCAAGATTTATATATCTAGGTACCCTACTAGGTTATAATATTTTGCTCTTCATTTTTCGTTTTTGTCTATTTAAATTGTTTGTCGGCTTCTCTATCTTCTTCTTGAGTTTAGCTCGGACGGAAGAAAGAAAATATCCAGTCATTAATACATTTCTTAACGTTACTTAGGTGCTATGTAGTTACAGGGAGAGTTAAAAATGATACATTCATCCATTTCCCCTTTACTGTTCATATTGTAAAGCTATAAACGCCTGAAAAGATAATAATGCCCCCGACTTTATTTATATTTGTAGTAACATTCACGATAACGACCTATCCGCGACGACGAGCAGTCTTCTTTCGCCTTTCTACCTATACCCAGTCACACCACATACATAATAAAAATCACCCCTCAAACCCCGCTATAGTAAACGTATCCACGAGAAACTGGCAATGCTCAGACCTCCTCTCCGTCAGCGGCACCGCCTTCTTCCGCCCCGGATCCCCCAGTCCCAGCTCCTCCTTAACACCCATAAACCATTGACCAAAGTAAGTCCACTTTAGGCTAGGGAACGCAGCAGCCCAGGCCTCCGTCAGCTTAAGCATGCGATTGCGATGAAGGACCTCCCACATTGTCAACGCCCTATCGATGTCGTCCCCTCCTTCATCCACGATGCGGGTTAGCTCCGCCGGGTCTTCCTCGAGATCGAGTCTAGCCAACACGTCGGATATTTCGTCGTCGGTAAACGACTGGTCCACGTAATATCGCTGGTGGTTTTCGAAATTGGAGAGGACTTCCCAGGGATATCTCTCGTGGTAGAGAGCGAGTCCTTTTAGTTTCTTTAGCTTGAAGAAGATATCGCGTAACTGGTCGTGGTCGACCAGCCAGTGACAACGCGGCCCAGCCTCGATTGCCGCGCCGAGGCTTAGCTCCTCAAGGGACGCGAGGCAGGCGATAGCCGTTAGTGAGGCCACCGACACGGAAATGGTATACTGCTCCCTTTTGCTGTAGTCACCTCCACCCCACGCCAAGGAGAGAGTCCTAAGATGCTCAAACCTCCCCGTATAGAACAACGGGATGATACACGCGTCAAGGTGCGCCGTTTCGTCACGCGCCTGCACGTATTCTGATACTTGTAGCTTCTTTACCGTATCGTGCCTCGCAATAAAACCCGCGATGAATTCTGCGTCTTCCCTGGATTCAGGGAGAGGCTGGACGACCAACGTCTCGAGATCCGAGAAAGTACCGCAATCAGCGAGGATATCACGAAGCTCAAAGTCAGGCTGTGGATCTATTGAGAGGTGCCTAAGAGGAGCGCTGAATAATGATGGAAGTATAGAACGAGGCGGCCCCAAGTCGCCAATCCTTAGGAGACGGAGATGAGGAAAGGATATGAGCTCGTCGTTAGAGTGTTGAGGGATGAGCTTTCCGTTAATAGATTTATTTCTCAGCAGCCAGGTTAGGGATTCGAGAGTAGGTGCACACGATCGAAGAAGTAAATCGAAGAACCGAGCCGGCGCAAGCTCGAAGTGAGTCTCCTCTCGCGCTGGTTCTCGTGGCAGAAGCTCTAAATACAGAGATATGACAAGGGAGCGTAATGGCCAAGTTGGCGGTATAGGACGTTCCTCTAAGAATGTAACGATGGTTTGTCTCTCGATAGGCAGTCGTCTGAGCCATAGGTGACGGGCCGGTGATTCCATTATGTGTTTAAAAAATGAGATTTCCATAGGATATGTGTCATGCCAAACGATAACCTCAAGGTTAGGCAGAGCAGAGCAGATAACTCTTTGAACATCGGCACGTAACAACTTGTATTGTTGGTGAGCTTGCTCTTCACGCTGTGCTGAGGTTTCCCTATTCGTAGTCTGAAACGATTCATCTCTCATGAAGCAAATTACAAAGTCTGGCTGTGAAGCCGTTAGGATCCATCGCACGCAAGCTCCGATGGTTGGACCTTGTTTATTATTATCCCTTCTAGATATATGCTCTTGGCCAAGCTTCGATAGTAACTGCCGAGCTCGGGAGTTGGCGTAGTTAAACTTGATCTTGCCAAACTGGCTCGAACGAGCCAACTGTCTGCAATCGCTATTGACTTTAGCTAAAGAGGCCAGAGTTGACTTGTCGCCAATTAATAGATTGACTATGTCAGTTAAAATATCGGACGGTAATTGAAGTAGCCTGCTTCGAGATACTAATGGTCGGCCTTCCATGACACGATCTAGCACTAGAGGCCGTGGCAGAATCTTCTCCCGGTCATAATAATCTATTGGAGGGAAGGCCTCTGTAATTGAACTGGATCTCATCGTCAACTTGGTGATGCTGTAGTGGATAATCCCAGATGTTTTATAAGTCGAAACGAAACAAACGACGAAATCTAAACAATTCACTTATACCTAAGGCACTATGTTAAATCGTTGGGTACCTTAACCACAAGGCACATTTTAGGTAGGTACTGTATAAATACCCAACCCATATGCATATAATTCCCATATGCATATAATTAGGTAAGCCAGAATCCTTCCGACTCCAAGAGATGAATTCTGTGGCTGGAAATGATCATCATCATCATCATCATATTGTAATATTTCTTAATTTATTTTCATATTCCACGTGGGGAGGTATATAGATAATGTAGATAAATAAGCAAATAGATATAGGCATCGGTGGGTATCCTGCAGTGAATTTCCATAATAAAAAGACTCGACCATATATGACCCCAGTACAAACAATGCAACCCCGAGAAACTTGGGCTAGCCCTTGGGTATTAGCAACGCGTTAGGATAATTGGAGACACCATGTACGTCCGCTAAAACCAACCTACATCCTCAAAGAATAATCCGTGGTATAGGCTCCGCTTAGCTACAAATCCTTTATCCTGGCTCGAACGGGGTAGCTGGTTGTTTTTATCTTATTTCAGTTTGTTTCGTGTCGTCTCTGCTTGCGTTATTTCGTATTATTCATGTCGTCTTATTTCTCGTCCCCCTGATGGTGTATATGTGTACCTTGACACGCCGAGTCCGAGTTATTTCAGTCCCCAACAGCCCACGGTAGATCTCTCTCCATCACTCGTACGCACGTTAGATAACTCGTCATGCCACTTGGGGCTATGGGTACGTTGGAGTTGCCACTGACACTAGCACTGCTTGGTGTAACAGCGCCTCTTTCTAGCTCTAGCTCTAACCCGCTGCCCATGAGTGGGCGTACGATCTCACGGGCGGCACTCTTAAGTTCATCAATACGCTTCTCGAACCGCCGAAGGTTGTCGCGTGAGTATAACTCGGGAGTCAACTTGAGAAAGCGTTTGCACTCGTCGTGGCCTAGATAGCCGGCACCTGTTGTAGCGCCTAGAGTACGATAAGTACGGCCCAAACTTGCGAGATTCGGCGCCATCGGTGCCGAAGCAATCACGGCTGTAGCGCGGGACGACGGCCCTCCATCACGGGAAGAATGTCCTCGAGTACTTGGGGGAGCCAGCGGAGCCGGCGACGTGTTATCTGCGAGCCACTGACGAAAGAAGGACACCGCAAGCCAGTCGAGATACGACGTACCAGGCGTGATGCGCTCGCCGCGAGAATTGGTAAGATTGAGGCGAAAGAGGCGACCCTCGATCCTCGATACTGTCTCTTCCAGCTCGTCGACTTTATCTTCGATAATATCGAGAACGATATCCGGAAATGACTGCCTAATACTCCGTTCCCCAGCTGGCCATTGTCCGACGACGTGTATCAAGGCTTCTTGGAAGATAACCTTACTTCGGCTCAAGTACCCCAGGCGTAAATAGCTGACAGGGTACTTAGCGATCTGTTTCCATAACCTGCTTTGGAATTGTAGCAAGTGATGATCAACTCGTGGTCCTACAACAGCTAACGCGTCGTACTGATCCGCCAACGTAAGGAGCGATTTACACTGTACGTATGCGTCGGCGATATTTATGCCGTCTAGCAGTGGGGGATAATTATAGAAAATGCGGAAGAGATTATCGTAATCCCGAAGTAGGTCGGCGTCGGCCTGCGAGAGAGACACATCTTGCTCTACCTTTGTCGGCACTAAGGACAGATTTGCAACCGAACGAAAGAACGAATTCGTGGAATGCGTGTGCGAATGGCTCGTTTTGCGCGTGGTAGGAGTATTCGAGGTTGCGCTACCGCCTCCAAAAAGGGAGCTTGACTGCGCGGAGCCGGCAGTATTAAGGGTATTAGCCTCCTTTTGCACCAACATCGGTATATCATCTCCATCACTCCCGGGGTCCAATTCATATCGCCATCGTTTTCGTGGCGCGGGCGAATTTACACGTGATCGCGCGACCTCATTTCCACTACTACTAGCGCTATCTTCCCCAATCCTCGTGAGCTCTCTTGATGAAGCATCTGCTGGCGGCATGAAACTTGCTTTAGACCATTCCTGGCTGGTGCTCGCTTCGAAGAATCCTGAACATCTTGTCAAGGTATCTTTATGCAGGAGATACCTGTTCTCTTTCCCGCCGGCTTTTATAAAGATCTCGACATCGCCCGAATGGCTAAATACAGGGAATTCGTTTTGTGGGATATAGGAGCTTCCGCCCGTGTGCGAGCGGTTATACCGCTTACTCCGAGAAGATGCATGCGGGCGGGAGGCGCTACGTGCCGAGACAACGGAAGAGGGGCCGCGGAGGGTGAGAGGCTCGGATTGTGAGATCATGAAGACTGAAGATTGCACGGTTTAGGAACGAAGGTAGCGGGGATCTCGAATTGGTGGCCTCTCAGACTTGAGAATTGAGGGCTACACTCCTGCCTAGTCATAGATGGGAATAGACTAGAATGTGTGAATCCTGTTTCCGCAGTTTGATAGGTAGCTTAATAGATATTCGTGCTTGCGATTAGATGGGAAAGGCGCAGCCGCTGTAGCTTATTATAAAATAGGTCGTCGAACGTTAGAGGCCAGCTATCTTTGATTGGTGTATAAAAAAAAAAGATCCCCAAAAAAAACAAAGATTCCCTCCCTTGTAGCTCAATCAGATGCCGAAAGAAAAGTCTAGGCGGTGGTATTGAGAAAGGAATCAACTAATAATTCTATTGTTGCGAATTGTCCACAGCTTGAGGGAGCTAGATGGGGTTGAAAGCACGGGACAGCATGCGCGGGTCCACTATCCTAGGAACATCACGAGCAGCAGATTGCCAAGTTCGGGTTGATGATTTGACTGATGGCTGTTGATTGATAGGTGCCGTAGGTGGTAAAGGGCCCTGTGCGGCTATGCAAGGATGCGCAAAGTACGTGCTTCTCACGATTTCGCCACAGCGGTCTGGAGAATAAATAGGCGGCCTCTATCAACAGACCATGAGCGAAACGTTTCTAGAAAAGAAGAAGAAATTGGTAGAGGTCGCGTCGCAGGCTGATATACTTAGATAGACTCGATCGTATGTATATAAGCTTGTTCAGACGTCGCGCTGCCTTCTGCCGCGTCCTTGTTTATTGTATCACCTTGTCGAGGTTTGCTTTGCACGACACGGGCATGAAATCCCATTGCCTCAACACCAATGCGTGAGCCCAGAATGTGGTTTGAATCGGGAGTTAGATGCACCGCTCTTGGTTACCATCTGCCCTGATGGGTGAAGAATGGACCCGGATGCAGCCATCAGTGGCCTATCGATAGGAGATTTAGTTAGCTTTGGCCACTTAGAGCCAGTCGTTTGTTCGTCACCTCGACGACCTCGAAACCATGGGATCTTAATTCCTTGAAAGCGGAGGGGGGAGCTGGTCAGCTAGCCTAAGCCTGACCAGCCTAAGCTTGCTTGGATGAAATACGCCTTGCCATATTTAGTAAATTCGATAAAAGCATATCGCATCCATGAATACATTTCAGTAGTATAAAATGATCCGAAATAATGGTCTTCGTCGTCACAAGGATATATTTACTCGTAGAAAAAACAAAAAAAGAGGATAAAATAAAAAGGAAGAATTAAAGTTTAAGTAAGGGAGACGATACTTTCGGAAATTGATAAGTCGAAGCAGTTCCTTCCACTGCTTTACGCAGGTAGGTACCTACGTATATCGCATGCGATTACTTTATCAGCATGTATGCGAAAATAGAGCAATCACAAGTACCCACCCTGCTATCTTACGCAAACGCTAATCGGAATCATTATGGATTCTCTTGATTACGCCATACTGATGGCCCGTAAATTAACATCTAAGGTACTAACTTAGGTACATACAGTATTTGCTCATGGCCGATGACGGACCAAGTCTTCGATAAAAACTTTTTGTTCTTCATAATTCAATACGAAACGCATCAACGTCCTATTAAGCTGAATGTTGTAAATTCAGTACACGCCTATGCAAACTAAATACTTATAGAAAATCACAGGTTCTAACATATATCATGGTCATTTATTATTATTGGCCTGAATCCTAGAGATCCCACATACAAATGTAACCCTGTTGCCCAAATTTCCCTTCCGCGATTTGCTCAGGCAGCATTTCAAGAGCATACACTGGTATAACTACAACAACCGACCCATATCAAGAGTTATATCACAAGAACATCGTTTTCTTTTGAAGTAATCGAGTCATGAAGAAATCTATTGTACAAACTATGCATACAAGAGCTGTTAGATGAATACTCTACGCCCCGTCAATTTTTGGCCCAAATCTCAGTTGACTCGAATTCGTGTAGCGGAAGCCGTTAAACCCGTTAATAAAAATATTAATTCGAACGCACCTAGTCCATACCTGTCGATCCCAAGTTACCTCTCGCCAAGCTGCGCCGGCATTGTCCTACAACAAAAGCAATCAGTGACCTTCTCCTTTTAGCAGTTTAGCTCATGTCCATTTCAACATCAGCAGGGGCTATAGCGACTTGTGGGAATGTCGCAATCTCGACTGGTTTGGGCGATTCTGTAGCAACCATGACTTTGGGTCCTTCAAAAGTTGGCGGCGACGTCTTCAGATTGATGAACGCTTGGTTTAAGTTTTTGCTGACGAGCTGACCCTGTCGCAGAGTTTCGGAGAATAGGAAGAAACCTTCCGCTGCCTCGACAAAATATGACTGAAGCCCTTTGCTTTCTAGCTGAATTTGGACGTTCGTGACGGGGAAATGGTTTTCGATATATCTCGCCCACCCGCGAGCGGCAGCTTGAATGTGCTCACTCCCGCTAAGACGGCTCCACCCAATCCCGAGATGGAGTGTAAAATTGTCGATGATAGGCTGGCTGCTAGTATCGGCTGATAGACTAGGTGTGGCCGTAGCAGCATCGACGTCGCGAACTGGGCTAGAGCGGCTAATCTGCGGCTCAGCACCGGGAATCGCGATGGCGTTCATGTCTAAACGTTGCGATTTGCTGCTTCTGAGAGATGGCCGTGTCTGTTGGTTGAGGGCACGAGCTTCTTCGTTCTTACGGATGTTATCCGAATTCGCTTTTTCTTCGACCCAGGTACCGGATTGATTACCTGCTTCAGCCACGTACGACGAAGGCGACTTGATGAGCGTCATACCTTCGCCGAATATCCAGCCATCCTCTGGCTCTTTGACGGGCTCGATGGTCTCAAGCTTAGCCTCTTCAACATCGAGATTGACGCCAGCTTCGTCTCTGGATCGCTTACGGCCTGCTGTTGAAGGGGCTGCGATCGAAGGCTGAGCCCAAGGTGAAGGAGCAGCGAACGTCTTAGCCCGGCTGAAAGGAGAGGTGTGATGCGAGAAGGAAGACATGCCGAACGCGCCTTGATGAGCAGCACTTGGTGACATGGTAAGGACTGGGGAGGAAGTACGTCCGAAAGAAGCCATTTTGGACTCTGTTAGCACTAGATGTTAGGTAAGATACGCAAAAGAAACAAGTTAGATTTCTGATTTCAGCTTGACAGTTTAAATGTGATGATCGTGTCGCGTGTCAAAAGGAGCGCAAGCTGATTTGCAGAGGACCAAGACGGTTGTATCAAAGAGGAAAGGAGGGCTCTGAGACGATATACGACTCGATAATGCGTGGTTTGATAATTATTTGACGGCTTAGAGGGATCGGTATGTAGGTGACCGTCGGTACGGCAGGGTGGAAGGCTAGGACGAAGTAGGCAGATGGGTGGAAGTATCTCGATGTATGAGGGATGCTACGAGATGAGAAGCAGGATGAGGATGTCTATGTGTGTAATATAGTAGTGAGAGGTGTTAAGAGATGAGGATGATATGTAGAAAATAAGGACAGAAAAGAGGGATGAGGATGGCTGGGTGGTGGAAGACTCTTGTAAGAAATAAGGAAGAGAGAGAAAAGGAACCTCAGGTACATGTAGGGAAATGGTATGTAGTAATAGTAGCAGCTTGCATGCGCATGGATGGGATGAGATGGGGGAGAAACAGGTTACAAGGATTGCCTGTGTTATTAGTGCACACTGGAAAGTTAAGACGGAAATCGGGTTACACGGTACTGTACAGAGTAATAGGTAGCGTAGCAATGTAGGCAGGTAGGCAGGTAGGCAGGTGGACGAGAAAACGGAGAGATGTAGGTATGTAGGTAAGGTAGGCTCCATAAGAGAACCTTAGTGTGAGGGTGTGGCCGCGGAAGCGTAAGAAAGAAGGTACGGAACAGAAGAAGGGCAAAACGGCAAGGATTGGATTATCCTATTGGCTATCGGATGGAAAAGTACCTATAGCAGAGAAAAACGCAGCATAAATACATCCATAGATAAGTGTGGATCCCGATTGGTGAGATCCATGCAGCCGTTGCTGCAGGTCAGTGCTTAGGGTGATGTACTATGTAGACGTCAATTTTTTAAAGGGTGCTCAGACCACTGTGATGTCGAGACCATAGTGTAAGTGAAGGATCAGACTGTCGGGGATGCAAGAGCAATTCGGTAAGGCAATGGCTAACCTAGGGGTCTTCTAAAAGAGCTTATCTTGTCTGTGATTGGTCAAAGGTTGCTACGGTTTGATGCTGGTACCAAGTCTTAGCTTCTTGGCATCTGGGGCCGAAAAGTTCCCACAGCAACCTACTTTTCATTGGTTTAAAACAATTCCCCATCAGCCCCATTCTATGAGGTACCTAGTCTCGGTTAAGGGACAGAATTCTCCCACCGGTTATGTCCGTAGACCCCACATTAGAACAATGATGTTGATCGCGATTTGCTGCAGCACATCTCGTTGAATGCCAAGCCCGCCATCCTAAGTGATGTCGTACGTTAGGTAACAAAGGAATCCGGGAAAAACTAATCAACCGACACTAATCCAAGGAACAGAAAGATCGCTGTGTAGAACGATTGAGGAAAAAAAAAAAAAAAAAAAAAGAAGAAGAAGAAGAAGAATCGACCGGGGATGCGGGTCTACTGTCCGTTTGTTTCTCCTCTTCTTTGCAGATTAGAAAGCATCATTGACGATGCTATTCATATCCGGTTCCCCTCCCAACTATTTGGGTTCGCGTCTCAACTGTTTGCGTCATCCCTTTGTAGTATCTATGATCTATGCATTAGGAGGTACTCATCCATTACCCTTATCAGACATTTTTGGAACATAAGAGAATATGGCAGGTAGGTAATGAGATGAATGCATTACTAGAGGGCCCAAGCGCCTGGCGGTCCCTCTTCGCTGCGCTCAGAGGGAACCAAAAACCTGGGACAGACCAAAATTCTGGGACAAGATAGTGTTTAGTATGTAGAATGTATGGGCTGCACTAACATTTTCAACCATTTTTAGGTCAATAAAAACCCCAACTTGACGAATTTTGTAGCTATAGAAAATCTGTTAATATTAAAAATTTATTTGAAAAATAAGAAAAATTTTGATATAAGTTGCATGTTTATAGCTGTAATGTTGGTTAAGTTATGGCTGTTATAATGTGGTGTTTTTTAAAAAGTGTATGGGGTATATGTGGGATATTCGGATTCGACTAAATTCTTTTTGAAAAAAATAACCATTTTTTATTTTTATTTTTATTTAAATTCGAAAAAAATGTTTTTATATAGAATAGAATATTTATAATATATTTTATATTGGAAATATATTTTTATTTATTTTGTTGAATTAAATATAAGGTGTTGAAATTTGGATTTTATATGAGAAATAGGTATTTTGTTGCCAAGGCTGTCCCAGAATTTTGGTTTGTCCCAGGTTTTTGGTTCCCTCTGAGCGCAGCGAAGAGGGACCGCCAGGCGCTTGGGCCCTCTAGTATTCATTATTCTGCGATAACTCTCCAGGTTCGACTTTGCCCAAATATACGACAAAGCAAGTCTCTAACCGCCGTTATGCACCACCTGCTTAGAAAATAATTAAAATAGGTTTGATGATAATATGCTTGATAACCTGTTGTTTCTTCTATTTCTTCTTGTGCACCATCTCGCCGAGTGTAGTAAAGCTTTGTCGGCTGGGAATGCTCACGAGTCGTTGACCCTTTAGGACGCATCATCTTCATCTAAAAATGCCCGTTTGTTCTTCTTATGAATATTATTCACCCTCTACTGGGCCTTCTCCCTGGAATATCGACGCCTCATAGAACAGCGTTGAGTCTTCGGTATTCTCTCGGCCGCTATAGAGACCTCGAAAGCCGGGTGTCTCAAGACCGGATGGACTGCTGGTGGCATCCCCCATTCCCCTCATAGTGTTGGACCTATATGCCGATCGAGAGGCTACTCGTAGGACAGGCGCAGTGTACGCGCCGTGAAGACGACTTTGGTGACGTGATTCTGGGAGATTGAGTGGTGTCTGCGGCTGCGATGACGCCGGAAGAGAGTCGTTATAAATTCTAAACCCAAGTTCCGTCCCGCTCATTGGTTCTAGCTCATCCCTCCGCCCCGGAGAACCAGACTCGGAGCTACTAGCGTGTGGCGTTGGCGACGGAGAGCCGCGGCCTGGAGAACGGACGATAGACCCCACGAATCTAACCGCCGAACTGACAAGTCGTCTCCTACTTCTAAGGGGCTGAGACGATAAAATTAGCGAGGGCCTTTACGACTACGCTTTTTACTCACTAGAGAGCCCGACCGAACGTCGGTATGCGCCATCCGAAGAGATGATCGTCTTGGGGGCGTTTCTGGTGGTTCTTGGCCGGAGCTGTCGCGGCGAGGCTTCGCCTGCATACCACTAGAGTTCTATCAACCGAGAGTAGTTAGCTCTGCCAATTTCTCCGAATAATAGAAAAGGCTCACCGAGGGTAGTGATTGCGCGTCCGATACGGATCGTTTTTCTTTCGAGAATGGCGGAGGCAGCGTCGTTGGCAAGTTTCCCCAGCCCATAGGATGCGACAAATTCGAGGCGCTTGGAGTACCGCTTTGCGAGGAAGATGGTATACCCTGAGAGCTACTTTCAACAGAGTCATCACCAGGCTTTGGTGGTCGAGGCGGACATGCCAGAAGTTTAGAGCTTTCTTTGACACTTGTGGTAGATGACCTTTTGGAGATAAGTTCCGGGGTTGATTGGTTTAAAACGTTATATTCCGTCTCGATGCTCTTAGCTACAGGAACCGGTTTCTTGGTACGTATAGGTAAGTTACCTAGAGTACCTTCTCTAGCAAGATACTTCTTAAATCGAAGATGACGTTCAAACTCCTTAACCTCTGTTATGGTCAAGGAGATCGTGGTTGGTGGTAGGCGTAACATGTTGTTAGAGGATCATCATCATCATCAGCCAGAGAATGGCTGGAATATGGCCAAGTTGCGTGTGGGAAAAATTGGGACAAGTTTTGCCTCGATATAAGTACTTCGTGTGGTTTTTATGATTGCTATAATTGTTAAAGTTGCCATAGCTGATACCCGAGACAAGAAGCTACGAGCTAAGCAACTGATATTCTCGACTATACATGCACTTGACATATGTTGGCATCAATGGTCTTTCTTCAGTTAGGTACCTAACATACATATGCTAAAGAAATAACTACACAAAAAAGTATGTAATTCGAATAAAGCAACAACTTAACATACCACATCAATAGGCTTCCGCTACAATTAATAACTTGTCGATTGCAAATAATCATAAACAACTAAAACGCGCAAATAGCTTTCTCTCGAACCAATTCGTATGCGTGAGATTAAAGCATCTAAGAGCGGTTATACTGATTGTTTTATAAGAGTTACCTAGGTTAAAGATTTGTGTTAAAAACATGACCAATAATCAGTGTTTGTCTTATGACTATGCACAAGGACTAAGGGGGTTTCTCATCGTATGTACCTAACCTCAACTTTAATACTCACGCACTTTACTACTGTAGCGTTACATAATCAAGTTAAAATAGAAGCTGTCAGATTGTGTAATTGAATGAAGTTTTGGGTTCATTCGTACATGTCTATTAATAACTTAAATTAATGGGCAAATGCGTTTGATTTCCGATTCTTATGAGGCGGCAGCTTTGAAAGAACATTAAAGGTACCTTGGTCCAATAAATATACAATATGTACATATACAGGCAGCATAACTTTGAAAGGTACCTGCACAGATAACAAAGTTACCTGAAAACCTGCTAGGTGAGTTGCACCTTGTACGGTCTACGGTGTGTACAGCGTACCTCTAATGAAGATTACGAGGTGACGCTAACGACATGTCCCAAGGGAAAGGTCCAATCCGCTGTTAGCAGACACTAACGGTTCCCACACTTTCCCCCCTCAGCATACGTGTACTTAATATTGTAGCAAGGTACCTGATTGTACCTTAGTCAGTAAAGTTCCACTAAGGCAGTAGGTAGCAGGTACGTACGGTATCTAACGTACATACATAAGTAGATACATACATTGTACCTACGTAGTTAGGAGGCAGTTAACTTCCAATGGACCTCGAGTTTGCTGTTCAACCTGCCACTTTTTTATGAAATTAGTATCGACCAATCTATCCGAACTACCTGACTACTTGACTACCTGACTACCTGCGTACCATCTGCGCGTTAGTATGCTCATCGCCCGTTCTTGTTTGGGCCCTTGTCCGTGTGTCCATGCATGGCAACAATTGGATTGAGATTTGAATGTTCTAGTCGTGTTCTACCCACGCTGCCCACGGCTACATTGCCGCGTTGAAAATTACACGCGGAACAGCAGAACGTACGTGCAGCAGTAATTACAGAATATCAGTCTAATTTCTCTACACCTACCTATCGTATCCTATCTACCCTATCCTATCCTTTCCAACCTCTATTTCCCTCTTCCCTCTTAACCCCTTACCCTGCCGACTGGATATTTTCCATCCCAACCTGACATGACCTAATCTTTTCGCCTTTAGAGGTGAGGCCGAGTCCCCTAAAGAACGCCGCATTCGAGGTAGCACATCTGCCACCGCCGGCGGTCGGGTTTTATTAGAGGCTCGAGCAGGTGTTCTTAAATCTGAACTTCGCTTCCTTAGTGGTCAGTAGAACGAACCCCCAAAGACAACAAATCTACATCCTAGGGACCATCAATGGTCTCATCTGTCGACGACAAGTTGTGGACAACACCTCTTAGAACCATTTCTATCGATACGGACTGGCAGATTATTCGCCTACCGTCCTGATTCGATACCTGTTGTTTGATCATCCACCCAAAAATCAACCAGACCCCCCCCTAACGGCCTATCACCAACATTTAGCTAATTTCTCCATTGTCATTCCGGATTGCGGGCACAATGAATAACGATCTTAGCCTCTCGAGGGCTCTGGGTGGCCTACGCATTGCAAACCCAGACGATGCTGAACCGGGCCCGCCTCAAGAAGCCGACGAAGACGTCAATGTACCTATGTCAAACCAAACCACTCCCGATACCCGCCCCTCCGAGTCCGACTCCCACACAGGACAGAGTAGACCTCAGACAGCAGAGATGTCAACGGCTATCTCCGGTATGACGGCCGATCCTCAAGGTCAGACATCCACGTATGCACAAAATGGAGCGTCACCATATGCGAACCCCTCTTCTTCGCGACCTCCATCTGGACTGTATAGTACTGCAACGGCAGCGGAACGGGATCAAGCTGCAAACTCTTACCATATCCTGAGAACAGAACCGTCCAGGACACCTGTGTATCCGGGTAAGATTGACTCGAGAACGCCTTCAGAGTATGCGCCGAGCGTCCCTTCCCGCGAACCGAGTTACCGGGAGCGACCATATAATCAGAACCGCCAGCTCCAAGCTGTAGCTGGGGGTGGCCCTTTACCTCCTAGGAGGAGTTCGAAGGGCATGGGTGGTGGCTATGCCTCGATCCCCGGTGTCCCTACTGTTCCCGAACCTCGTGGTCTTGGGCTAGATGTGCCGGTGTCCAATAGCAGCGAGGAGTGGAAAGATAGGGGAGCCGCCGTTTCGATACGGAAGGAAGTAGATTCCAACGGAAAAACTATCATGAGGCCAGTCAAGAAGGGCGTGCGAGACTTTGCCTTCGGCCGCGTTTTAGGGGAGGGTTCATACAGCACAGTATATTTCGCTACGGATCGGCAGACACTTAAGGAATATGCCATAAAGGTTCTCGAGAAGAAACACATTATCAAGGAAAGAAAGATAAAATACGTCAACATCGAAAAGGATACCCTCAACCGCCTCACCGAACATCCAGGTATCGTACGACTCTACTACACCTTCCAAGACGAAAATTGCTTGTATTACGTTTTGGATCTTTGTAATGGTGGCGAGCTCTTAGGTGTGTTAAAAAAGACAGGCACTTTCGATGTAGAGTGTACGAGGTTCTTCGGGGCCCAGATTCTGGATGCCATCGAATATATGCACTCGCGTGGCGTCATCCACAGGGATTTGAAGCCCGAAAACGTCCTCCTTGACGACCAACTACATGTCAAAATCACCGATTTTGGGACAGCTAGGCTATTGAGCGATCCGAGAGCACCGCAGGCTCCTCCCAGAATCGAAGATATGGGGACTAGCTCTAAGAGTAAAGATGAGGATGACGATAACCGTGCAGCATCCTTCGTAGGTACGGCCGAGTATGTCAGCCCCGAACTTCTCACCAACAAAAATGCGTGCAAGGCGAGTGATTTATGGGCCTTTGGCTGTATTATCTATCAATTACTAGCTGGTCGACCACCGTTCAAGGCTGGGTCTGAATATTTGACATTCCAAAAGATCGTCAACCTCGAATATGAATTCCCTGTAGGCTTTCCTCCTGCTGCGAGGGATCTAGTTGAGCGTTGTCTAGTTCTGGATCCAGCAAGGCGCCTTACAATCGAACACATCAAAAATCATGAATTCTTCGACGGTCAGCAGTTCGGTAAGGTCTTGTGGAAAACAAAGGCACCGCGATTGCGACCGTACGTTCCACCGTCTCAGGAGCCTAAAATAATCCAGCTTAATGGATCGTCCTCTGGCCAACAGCCTTCATCCCGACCTGCTACGACTGGGAACGGCCTGAATGGCCCTTCTCGCGGACCGGGGAGGATTATCACTGACATCCCGCCACCATCGCAACTCGATATTGAATGGTCACCTGTGTTGACAAGAACGAACGAGAGGATTTTGCGACTTGGCGACCTTATGGTCATGTCATCGCCAATTCCGAACAGTCCACATAACAAAGGCGACGAGCCCCATAGGAAATTCTCTCGGTTTTTTGGTGGTAGCACAACGAAGAAGAGGCAACGACTAGTCATGATCACGTCTAGTGGGAGGATTATCTTGGCCCCGGCCGGAGGGGAAGAGAAAAAGACGAAATTGGAGATCTCACTTTTGACACCGGACTGCTCGTGGAAGAGCCAGGTAGACGCAAAGGGACAGACGGTGTGGTGTGTTGATTCGGTGAGTTTTCCATGCTCCGACTTGTTTATGTTTGTACTTACAGGTGGTAGGCTGGCATTCACTATACCTTTGAAGATGTCAAGCCATCTTCTTCACTCGAACTGCCTCGTCCCACAGCGGACGACTGGCTTGAGAGTTTACAGCAAGCCAGGGACATTGCGATATCCTCTAACGTTAGTCGTTCGTATACTAGCGATAACGCGTTTGGGGAGATGTCGTCGTCGATGTCTAGCCCAGCAAGTACTTTTGGTCCAGAAGGCTACAACATCAATGATAGGTCTCATCGCAATCACCTAAGCAAGAGCCAGGGAAGCCTGGAGGATGCAGCGAATGCGAAACGCAATCGATTTAGCAAGCGGCAATCCAAACAAGGATTAGGTTCAGCTTTTTAGCAATAGCTGTACATTTGTAGCTTGGAAATACTTTCATGCTTGGCACTCGGACTTTGCGCAAACTCGGCTAACTATCCGTTAGGGCCTACCTAGTTTTCCCTTTCTTGGAGGCATTTCTCTTCTTTCATATGCGGCATGTTCTAGCGAGGCGTAGGCTTTGGTAGTTTTTGGTGACATTTGAAGAGGTGCACATCATGACACAACACATGCATTTTGGGAGTTTCCCTGTCACCGGCCCATGCCTCTTATTGAGGTATGCGCTCGGTATCTCATTTTAGATGGATTAGAAGGATTACATTACGCATGACCATACCTCACATTCCCTAATATAATATTCCAACATAAAATTCCTTTCAGGCCCCTAGATTAGGGAGGGGGAGAAAAAGCCACAGAATGCCGAGCCCGGGGTTGCTGTTTGGTTGTAAAGGGCGGGGAAGAGTGCTCGCATAGCCGTGTTGAGGGTCTGGAACTGGAAAGGTAGATGTTTGAGAAATAGGAGTCCGTAATGGACCCAAATCTTCAGGAGTCTAAAAGGACGTGACTGAATCAATGGAACTGGCAAAAGCAAGTTAGACATTCCCCGGCGTGATTGATGGGTTGATTAGTATGTTGCAGAGGCGGTTCTCATAGGTTCGGGTTCCCGCCAACCTGCCATGCCATATATTATAGGTTGTAGTAGCGAGGTTGAGGCCGTCATGATTTCGTCAGTTGGATTCACAGAAAATAGTAGTGTGAAGAATACCGGTGCTCCCCTATCATCTCCCAAGACGCGAGCGAGCTACGAAGTAACCCCTTAACCAACCGTATCTCAGCTGAGAACGTGGGTTTGGTAGGACATAGGCACTCCGTAAGGAAGGTCCCTAACCGTTTAAGCCAATCGGTCTATAAAGTAACTAATATATAAATAATTTTCAAGAGGATAAGGTATCCTATAACCTATGTAGGTAGGTATGTAATAATGTAACTACCTCCCAAGATAGTAATATTGATTGGAGTATATAAGTTAAGTACCTAGGTACATATGTCGTAAGATAGGTACATAGGTACGTGAACTAATGCACGGATCGTGTATATTTGGGTACTACCTCTTAACCTTATAGGTATGGAGGCTACTAGCCACATCAGCCACTTGGAGCTCTATCTAAACCGGGTCCGACTCCAGAGCCAAACCATTCCATTCCATTTTTTTCCCTTTGAACCCGCTTTGTAGGTGTTAAGCCAAGCCGGTCATACTCCAAAAACTACCCTACATATGTAGAAAGTACATAATTCTCCAATCATTCGAACAGACCGCGACGAGGCGACACGCGCTTTTTCCAACGACTATCCAAATCTCCGACCCAGATAACTCGGGCCATCTCCCCCCATACAGCCATACTGCCTATTCCCAATCGCGATCGAAATTGGTGTCGCACGCTTAAACGGTGGAGCTACAACACTTTAGTTCCAACCAGTCCAAGGAATTAAAATCAAAGTAAAGCAGAATAAGAGGCATAGCAAGGCCCTGAATCGGGGCCAAAATAGTCAAGATGCAGACCGGCTACCGCCCTTACCCGCAGCAACAGGTGCCGCCGCAGCAGCAGCAGCGTACCCCCCATTCGGCCGGGCAGCGACGAGGAGGCATTGGTATGTTAACTTGACTAGTAGAACCATCTACTTTTTATTATTAACTATCTGTTTTAATACTTCTATGTATGGTCTTGAAGTATTTAAATTGTTGGCGAGTCAGTAAAACCGACAAAGCCAACAAAAGCCAGCAACAAAAAAAAAAGACTCCCCTCCCCCCTTCCACTTCCACTTCCCTCCACGCATCCACACATTGGATCCACTGGCCATTAGTTTGGACTCTTACTACCCTCTACATATGCCAATCCACTACCTATGCATATACATACACGTCGTGTACCTACAGTTCACTGCTACCGTTACCTTTCCATTATTGTTGTTGTTGCCTACCAAAACTTAACTTTCCTTAGGTCATATTCTCCCCTCCGCTCCCCTCCTTTCCTTCTTCTAGAGATTCTAGCTAACCCCTCTGTTATATCTACAGGTCCTATGATGTCGTCCGGTCCTCATCACCAAGTTCCCCTGACTCAGGCGCAAATCGCCCAGCAGCAACAGGCCGCCGCCATACAGGTCGAGATGGCTAAGCGCCGCAGCCGCAAGCCAACCGATAAGAACCTTCCTGATAACATCGACGACTGTACCGTAGGTGATATGGCGGTGAGATATCGAGAGCTTAGGGACTTTGAGAGAAGACTCGATGCGACGATGACGAGAAAACGTCTTGATATTGTCGACTCTGTAAATCGAAGTGTCAAGGTACGTGTCACATGTCTCAGCCAACATCAGATCTTATACTGACTAAACATTGCGTAGCGCTGGAAGACGCTTCGGATCTGGATTACCAACACTGCAGAAGATCAAGTCTGGCAAGGAAATAATCTTGTCGACACTTTTGATTTTAGTTCTAATCTAGAGCCCACTTATCGCGTTAAGATTGAAGGACGATTGTTGGACGACGATGATGATCTCGACAAGGATGATGATAGTGAAGATAACACGGGCGAATCCGACGACGCTGACCGCATGGAGGAAGACACGAAGCCGAAAGCGAAGTCTCCGAAATATAGGTTTTCCCATTTTTTCAAGGCCTTGAGCGTAGACTTTCCTAGCAATCGGAAGGGCATCGACCAGGTTGTCGAATGGAAAAAGCCGGAGCGTGCTGGTCCTTCGTCGAGTCTTCCCGCCGCTGCCGACTTCGACGAACTAACCTTCAAGCGTAGCGGAGACGAGAACCTCAATATTACGATCAATCTCTACAGACATGAGGAGCCCGAGCGGTACGCTGTTAGCCAGGAATTAGAAGACATCGTTGACATGTCAGAAGCTACACGACAGGAAATAGTCATGGGAATTTGGGAATATATTAAGCTGATGGGACTGCAAGAGGACGAAGAAAAGCGCAATTTCCGGTGTGATGATCTATTAAGAAAAGTGAGTAGCCGTTATACAAAATTCTACTAATACGTCCGGCTAACAAGTGGCTTCAGGCTTTTGGCATCGAAGCAGGGTCGATTCCTAGGCTGCATGAATACATTACACCGCATCTAAAACCCTTGCCACCGGTCAAGCTTCCCTACACTATCCGACTGGACGAAGAGTTTCACAAAGACCCACAACCGACCGTCTATGATGTCCGCGTTGCTGTAGATGATCCACTACGGGAGAAGATGTCTTCGTTCCTTAGCAATGCTGGTTACGCCAACATGCTGAAGGAAGCTGCTTCCCTTGACGACCAGCTCGCTATCATAATCCACGCGATCCACGTGTCCAAAGCTAAGCACGCCTTCCTGACGTCTCTTAGCGAGGACCCTGCCACTTTTGTAAGGGACTGGTTGAGTTCGCAGAAACGTGACCTCGATATAATTATGGGAGAGTCGATGAGAGGCACCGGCGAGGATGCGACCGGAGATGAGTGGAGAAAGGGAGGCAAAGATAGTATCTGGTCTACCGTCAACGCTCGCGAAAGCGTTACGGTGATGTTGTCCAAGCAGTCTGTCTTGCCACAGCGATAGCTCCTAGGTTAACCCGTGAGGCATTTAGGGATCAAGAGGAAAGGAGATGGCTACCTAAGTAATAGTCATGAGAATGGCGTATGGCGTGCTAATTTATGGCTCAGGATTACGGGTCTAGCTCGTAATCTCCTGGTGTGTAGTAAGAGTCGCTCGAGACAGAGGTTCTATATCCCTGTATTAGTAGAATGGGTATCGGTGAGAAAACGTTTCAGGGACTAGGTCTAAGAATCAATATGACCAGGGGGCAATCTATGGTCGCTTTGGGGAGTAAAGGGGGTATTGTGATCTTTGATTCGAGTTTCCAGTATAGCAATTTCATAATAAACTGACATAACATCCGTTAATGAGCATTTGACTACATGCAACACTATTGTCTTTATATGCAGGGCAATGATTGGCCTCGGTCTTTATAATACCTTATCCCCGAGGACTTTTAGCTTTAAGACTCGGAGTTTCACCCCTCAAGACGTCCTTTTTTGTATACATGATATATCCGGGCACTCCACTCCAGTTGAGTTTGCTGTCCATATATAAGAGCATAGAGGATACGTTTTTTCTATTATAATCTAATGCTAGTCATTGCTGAGCATCTAGCCGAAATCAAATTGAGTTATACGAAACAAGATGTCTGCGATCTTCAAGAAGGCTAATACGGCCGTCATTACGGGCGGCGCGTCGGGAATCGGCCTCGCGCTGGCGCAGAAGTGTATCGGCTACGGCATGAGAGTCCTCGTTGCGGATTGGGACGCCCAGGCCCTGGGGAAAGCTGGCGAGACGCTCGGGAGCGCCGCGAGTACCGTCCGTATGGACGTGAGTAAACTGGAGGACTGGAGCGGGCTTAAGGATAGGGTTACGAAGGAGTTTGGAGGTATGTATGTTGTATTTTTGCTACTAGGTAACTACCTAAGGAGCGCAGCTGGTATACGCGAGGTATAATAATAAATACTAAACGCCCCGTACGTATGTATGTAGGCCAAATCAACCTCCTAGCACTCAACGCCGGGGTCAGCGCCAAAACGGCCTTCGACGGCGAGGGCGCGGACCCAGCGGCTTTCCAGAGGATTCTCAACGTCAATTTTTTAGGCGTCGTCAACGGCATCTTGACTCTCCTTCCGCTTGTCAAGGAAAAAGCCACCGCCACTACCACCTCGGACTACAAAGCCGCAATCGTCATCACGGGCTCTAAGCAAGGCATTACCAACCCGCCCGGCAACCCGGCGTACAACGCCAGCAAAGCAGCCGTCAAGTCGGTCGCCGAGCAGCTGAGCTTCGACCTGCGCGGGCTGTCTAACGTAAACACGCACCTGCTCGTGCCGGGGTGGACCTGGACGGCGCTAGCGGGGGCGGGGAGCGGGCGCGAGAAGCCGGAGGGGCCGTGGACGCCGGGGCAGGTGGTGGATTACTTGGAGGCGAAGATGGGGGAGGGGAGGTTCTGGGTGGTGTGTCCGGATAACGACGTGGACGAGGAGACGGATAGGAGGCGGATGGTGTGGGCGGCGGGGGATGCGGTGGAGGGGAGGCCGCCGTTGAGTCGGTGGCGGGAGGAGTATAAGGGGGAGTTTGGGGAGTGGATGGGGAGGAAATGAAGGGGGAGGGGACTGGATATTATTGGGTTGTTTAAGGGGTTGGGTTATGTATAGGGGGTTCAGGGGATTATTTACTATGATTATGAAATCCGTCGTTCAGCATAACCTCATTTTCTTAGAAGAGTAACTAGTTACCAAGGGGAATTGTGTCCCTGCGGCGGGGGATGCCATATCATCGAATTCTATTACGTTTCAACGTCTCCTCGCGATTAGTTCTTATCTGTTTGTTTGTACTTTCGTTTGTCTGGTCATAACCTAAACGCCTAACTACATGCACACAATGATTGCCAATGACGGCTGCTTGGTACGTCTACTGTCTCAAGCCTAATATCTAAGAGTCCTTGCTACCAAAGCAAAGAAAAAGTTGAACCGTGGTTGAAGCTACTTACGGATGGATACATCTAATACCCGGGTCTTCCGTCAGTAGTACCCCTAAACGGCTAGCTGGCGGGTCGGGGGGACGGGATTCGGGGGCATATTCCTGATCTGCTTGATGAGGAACTCGCGCTCGTCGATGAACTGCTCGTCGTCGGTGCGGTCCTCGAGGAAATGGGAGAGGAAGTTGAGGAGCTTCTCGCGGTTCATGAGCAGGATCTTCTGCACGGCGATGGACTTGTGGGGGTTGGCCACGAAGACCTTGAAGACGTGGAAGCCCTCGTACTGCACCATCTTGCGGTCGCTGCGCAGGAGGTTCATGCATATCTTGAGGTGCTCCCCGCGGTCGACGTACGCGGTCATGACGTTGTAGTTGGACCGGTCAAGTAATATCTCACCGAGCAACTTGATCGACTGCCGCTTCGTCACGTAGCTGTTCGACTGTACTAGGATGTTGTTGTACTTGTCGAAGAAGAGCTCGAAGTTTATCGAGAGGTAACGCGGCACGAGCTCTTTATGTTTCGTCAGAAGTTCCTAGAATAACGTCTGTTAGATGATGTCTTGTAGTCTTGCATTTCAATAATATAATTGGACGTACTCTGAATGTTGTGAAGGCGTCAGCAGCAACCTCAAACGAGCTCTTATCGATCCAATCGAAGAATCGCCAAAAGACTCCGTTGCCGCTCTGTGGCCGTTCCCTATCGATTGCCGTCACGCCCTTCAAACTGGAACCGGGCTCTTCTCCATCGTCGTATAATATAATGGCAGCGGCTGCCTCATTTTTCAGAACCTCACGAAGTACGCTGCCCGCGGGCGTTGCGCTCTCCTTGTGATCGTAACCTCGACACAGCTCTAATAAGATTTGGGGTTTATTATTCACTACGTAGCTCAATGCGACGGGATCTGTCTTTGGCGACGCTGTGGGGGGTCGGAAGCGGAAGACGTATGAGAATATGACCTGGGTGTCTTTCCGGGATTCGAAGGGGAGGCGGTGTAGGGTTTGAGCTAGCAGAAGGAGAAGGTCCTCTTCTATCAGACCTGTAACCAGCTGGTATACTTGCTCTGGGGTACTATCTACGTCTGCGATCGAATATGTTAGTATTTATTATTTATTATATTATTATATAACAGGTTATGGATGACTTTGCGCGGGGAATGGGGAGGCAAGTAAGTACATACCTGGTGTTCCTTGAAGTATGAGCTTCATCTGACTGAGCACCTTGGCAAGCTCGTCGGCCTATAGCAGGATAGTTAGTTAGCATATTGTATAATTGACATAATATTAATATTATATTAGGATTGGAAATCTGGGCTTATGTACGGAATACATACTTTGCCAGGGGCGTCAAGTTTGAGAACATGGTCTCTAGCTTGCTTGGGAAGATCCAGAGCGTTAGTCCTGGTTCTGCCCCTCGAAAATAAGAAAGACATGGTTGTGCGATTAGCTATGCGTATACGTATAACGTATAGCGTATAACGTATAAGGAATTCGAATTAGGTAGTTTATAAATTCTTTGGACCGCAGATTGTTGTAGATGTTGTCTGCTCTCAGTCCTAGCCACATGTAGGCAGGTAGAGTAGACCTCGATAGGCAGGAGACGGGGCGGGTTTGGATATTTTTAGTCAACCAAGATCGTCATTGTACTTGTCCAGGCTGATTGATTCGAAGATGCCCGACGTCGTTATCCCAAAACTTGGTCTACCTTGGTGGTGAGGCCTGAATGGTGCCATGTGCCATGTGCCGCTTGCTGGTAATTGTTTATTGTAAATCCGGGGATCGGAATGTTTATTTACGGGGCGGATAACCTCAGCTGAGGCCCTGTGTCAGTGTGTCAGTGTGTTAGGTTAGTCTGTTAGGTTAGTCTAATGGCAACCAACCGTCGAGTGCTTTAGCGTCTGTGCTCTAGCGTCACTTCCACATATACTACTACCTAGGTACCTCATGTATTGTACCTCGGTGCGGGTATCTTATCTTTAGTAATTGAATAACCCTTACAATTTAATTTACGTACTCTTAGGTATTTTCATACTATTAGATGGCGGGGATTTAAAGCGAGATTCACGTCATAACATCAAGACCAACTGCATCAAGACTTGTCTTTGTCTCTACCTAAGTTGAGAAAGACGAGCTAATACGTCCAACGCCATAGCCCCTAGATGGAAACCTCAATGTTACTGCAGTCACCTAGCCTGTTTTGACGCTTTCTATATTCCTTATGAGTTCCCATGATTTTGAACAAGGTGTAAGGTAGATGATATATTACTCACCAAGACACAGTCTTTTAACTTGAGAAACTCATTGACGCATTTATCTTTGTGGACCGCGTTATATTCTTCCACGATGCATTTTCCGTATACCGTTGCCTATGTATAAACGACCGTGAGCTTTGATGTCCCATGATATATGATGTATATTAATCTATTAAAAGTGTATATTACCTCGGTAGAGCATCGTGAAACCGCAGCAGCAAATCTCTGAATTGGCCGTTGACGTGTTGGCATTTTTCTAATACACGTTGATAAAAGCTGAAGCCAGAATCTTTATAGTTTTGACCGTTTTGGCCAAGTTCTCGCTGTAAAATACTTGTGGTCGTCTTATAAAATTATGGGATTGCTATTTCTCTAGGTTACTAACATTGAAGGTACGTCGATATTAGAATATGAAAGCGTATTCTTATGCGATAAGGAGATAAGGTAACCGCTAGGTACATATGTACATACATAACGTTAGTGTAGGTAGGTACACAAAGAGAGCCCCACTCATGCAGTCTGCTAGGTGGGGGTTGGGTCCGAATATTTCGATAACGCGACGCGATGAACCTCACTTCCGTCTTTCAATCAATCAATCAATTCAGTTATCGCAATCAATTCCAAGTTACCTATAACCATTGCAATCCCGCTTTTCTTTGCTGAATTATCCTACTCCCTAATCAATTGTCCGCCTTTTCAAATCATGCTCCTCATTTGCCGGCTTACCTGCGATTAGCACTTGCATCGATCTTATTCCTCAAAATAGTTCAAATTGAGCTTAAGTAAGACGATGCTCGGGCTTACGAGTATCGTGCCTCTGTCGCTACTCTACCATGGCTCTTTCACATAGTCGCCAGTCTTCGACCTCTTCCGATATTTCTGATGAATTTTCCGCCCCGGAGTCTATCCCTGAATCTATCCCTGAGTCCACAACTCACCGCTCCGTGGCTCCGCCTGCCATGCTCCCTTCTCAAGTCCTGGCTATGGAACGCGATAGGTATTCCGACGAAGGTAGGGTTTTCATTCTTAGCTACATAGTTGCTTAATTCGCTAAAATCTTTTATAGATATTGGTATTCTGTGGGAAATCGTGACCAAGGCTGAAGAGATCTTATCCGAGCTCACGCCTTCTTCTCGTCTACCAACTCACGCTTTATTTAAAGCTTATGATGAGATTCTTCCAAGGCATAACCTCGACCCGGACGAAGACCAGCTTATCAGTAAGCTTGTCTTCCGGGTTGGAGGTGTCAAAAAGCCGATTTCGCTTAAAGAGAAGTTCAAGGTAGTCATGTCGCAGATGGAAATTACTGTTCAAATGGATGGTTCTTCGGCGCATGAGAGCGATGCCGGAGAAGTTCACATTGATCCTGCTTCTGATAAATCTCTCGGTTTTATCAATGGTGATTATATAGGCAACGATTACACTATCCTAGAGGACGACAATAATCGACATCTGCATAACGCAAACAACCAGGCTAACCTCTCTGTGATCGAACAACACCTCGAAAATAGCGCAATTTCTTTTCGTAAGAAATACCAGAATAAATTCTCTGCTACGAGCGCTCTTCGGCAATGGCAGAAGAAGTCAGAATTCATTGCCAACATTTGCGGTCAGTTCGATGCTGCTCGGCAGGCTGACTTGGAAGAAGATGTTGGGACGAAGTTCGAAATTTGGAGAACTATCGCTGCTGAAGTGGACAACGTACCACCTCAATATCTGCCCCCTAATGTATATTCAAAGAGGATCGAGGGGATCGCCGTTCGGGCCCATGACATCCACGTTACTAGAACTACACTGAGATGTTGGCGGCAAAGTGCGAAAGAGGAAGGTAGTAGGGTCCGGAAAATCGAGGACTCATCAGACCCCTTGGAACGTGTCGCGGCAAAGGCGCATAAATATATGATGCTGTCCCGCGCCTTTGCGAATTGGTACAACCGCTGGGAGGAAGAGTCGGAGAAGGCACAGATGGCCGCTAAGGTCTATGAAATGAGCCTAAAATCTAAAGCATTCGGTCTGCGCCAGCGTCCGGGCGACGACATTCACAACAACGGTGCTCATGATGCCCACTTCGATGCTTCTCCTTCTGCTAACCCTGGCAATTTCGAAACCGCGCCTGAAATTCCTCCGGTTGGCGATAATGTTGGGTTTAATGTTGCTGTTGAGCCTTCTGGTTTATCAAGTACTGCAGTTGGGACTCATGAGAAGGGATTTTCCGAGGCTTCTACAAGAATTTCATCTCACAAAAATGATCTGGTTGAGATAATGGATGAAATGGATGAAACCACACTACTTGCGCGAAGGCATATTCTCCGCATGCGCTACTATGATGCCTGGGAGAAATACACAGCGGAAAATGTACAGAGGGCCAGAAATTTTCGTGCGGAACAGCAAGACGGTCAAGTGGCGCATGCCATCCCTCTATGGCGTTCCCAAGCTAAAAAGGCTTCTCTGGAGCAGGAAACGATGCAATACAATGCTAAAAGGGCCAGCTACTACAACAAGACTGTAAAAGCTCTCGACACATGGAGACAAGAGAGCCAAGAAAAAATGCACGGACACGATGAGATACTTGAGGACTATGCTACACGAGCCAATTTCTACTATAAAGCTACAAGAATACTACCTACCTGGCAGAATGCAGCTGAACAAGCTGCCCAACAGCAAGGGATTCTTGAGCTTTATGCGAATCGAGCTGAATATTTTTCTAAGGCTACAAATTCGCTTCCCCTTTGGAGAACACAGACGCAGCATATTGACCACGAGGAGAAGAAATTGGCGACCTATGCTCGGCGAGCCGATTACTATTATAAAACTCGAGGTGCCTTGTTGGCATGGCATGATATTTCCAAACAAACGCGCAAACGGAGGTTGAAAGAAGCACATCTGGAAACCCGTCGTATTGTGAAGAAAGGCATGGGGGAACGATGTATTGCACAATGGCGCGAAAAACTACAGCCGAGCTCCGAACGGCTTGAAGTGATGGATATACTCCTAGAAGATGTCATTACGGACCAAGAATCGAAACAACTTGTGGGAGCACTCGGAACGTGGCGTGAGAAGGCACAGCAGAAGGAGGAAATGGAGTTGATGAGCGATGCAATGGTCGAGGGGAAATTTTTACAACAGTGGAGGGATCAATCAGTATATCATCAAGAGCTGGAAGTTGAAGCTAAGGAACATTGGAAAGAGAAGACGATGTCTCGTACGCTGAAAAATTGGAACCTTAGTTCCCTCCAAGTTCAGAATCGACCACTCATAGTGGCAAACGCGCTAGAAAAGAAGGACAGGAGACTGGTGCGAAATGGGTTTGAGAACTGGTACAGCCGAACAGCAGACAAGCTTGTTCCTATCGAGCTCGAGGATGGAAGCTACAAGAGTGTGGAGCAAGTGGTAGAAGATGCTCAACATCAGGCCTCTCTAAACCATGCGCGGGGTTTGTTGGATAACTGGAAAGCCGCAGTGAAGGGTGGGAATGATAATATTCAACAAGAGACGTACACTCCCACCCCAGGAAGGCCGCGTCTCTTCCTAGGAGGCCTGAGTCTGCGGGAGACGACAACACCATTAGCACCCGTACCGGGTCGGAATTGGCGAGCTAGCGAAACGGCAGTGAGGGGGTCGGCAATCGCAGGTAGAGCTAGTCGTTCCAGTCGCGCCGCGAGGAACCTTAGGGTTTCATGGGCGCAATAATTGGGCTAGTCCAGTTGATAATATAATCGACGCTATGGGTATGGGGTTTGTCTTGTTTGGAAGTATGATGGAATCTTACATGGAATAGGCGCAAATGGCATTTTTACATAGTGATACCCCTGGATCTGCTGGTTCGAAAGATTCAAAGATACTTGTAATAGAATATATGGACTTTTGGGCCATGTTATTATATTAGTGTTACATAGGTAGGCGCACAGTTATCCTTATTTATTAGGTATAATCCTATGCTATCGATGAAAGTTCAATATTCCTCTGTAAAGTAGTATATATTAGGAACATGTATTCCGTATGCCAATAGACTTAAGAGGCATTATAAGGGTGAGAAGAGGATCCACCAGTTATTGCATTCACCTTTTTAGATTGACTTTTCCTTATGCAATATCGGTGCTAATTATATGTATTTAAGCAGGTGTTTAAGACAGGGATTCGCGGCCTATCCCACGTCATACTGCAGTCGCAAACCGACGCGAATTACATACAATTGCAGCGACGACAGGAGAGCACCTGACGTTTTTCTATCAACCCCGTTAAGGCTGCATCACACTCAAAATACAAAATACATGCGCATATTTTAAGCTACCGCTAACGATCCCTGCCAAATAAAACGATAATCCATGCGTAGATCTACCTTCCCTACCCTCCCTTGAACAAGAACGAGTTCGGATTCCGGGAAGAAACCCAAGCGAAATACTTGTATAACCACTATTCTACCCGGCGCTTCACAACCCTAAATCTTTAGACATGTCCATATCGAGCCATTTACGACGATAGTATGAAGGAAGTCCTTCCAGGTCAGCCTGAAGCCAGTCTTCAAGCTGTGTCGACAGGTTATTGGGATGGCAAGCGCGTTATCGTTTACATCACCGGCAATGCCCTCGCGATTCTATCAGGCCCCAAAACTATCCTCCAGACCATATATGATAATGATGAGCGGAAATTGTATGCTGTATCCTTTGATGAATGCTCAGGAAAGATAGCTGCATGCACGGATGCGACCGTGAGGATATACCGGCCTTTAAGCCATGGTGATGATGGTGGTTCGCCCAAGGTTATTTCCCTCCTGTTTTGCCAAAATAGTTATTGTGTAAACTTGGCTGATTGTATATAGTGGGCTTTACAAACATCTTTTGACGTCGATGAAGGCTCAACGCCTATAACTCTGTCTTGGGGAAGCTCTGAGGAGCTCCTCGTTGCGCGATCATCTTTATGGCTTTATAATACGACGTCGACACCACCTTCTTGCCATTGGCAACAGGAGCTAGCCAGCCCTGCCAAAGCAGCGAATCTATCCTACGATTCGTCTTACATCGCGTGTATCGGATATCATGATCGTCTAGTAAAAGTATGGCGGCGGCTGAATTTCAGTTCGGAAGAAATACAATTTGATTTCGGCTATCTTTCGCACCCGCGAGCCGTAACTAGTATACAATGGCGCAAACCATTTCACGTCGACCAGACGATCGAGAATGTGCTATATACATTTTGCGTCGATAATGTCATGCGCATGTGGACGGGTGCAGATAGCTCCAGTCGTCAGTCGTTACTACAACACTGGGGGCAATTGGATCTAGCAGCAGCAGTGCGGGATGAGCGCGAGACAGGTAAACAAAATCCAGTATGGGCCTTCATATTAAGCCAGCGAGATCTCGCCAACGCTACGGAAAGAGCCGTTCAAGAGAGAGGGGATGGTCAAGAAAAGGAAGATGTCGCTCTTCAATATTTACTCTCCATTGCCAACAGAGATACCGAAATTTGCGTCGTTTTCGATGGACGCGGAAGTATGTCCTCTTGGGCCTTAGAGAGTATAGGTAATAAGCTCAGGGGTACCAGTAACGTGGACAATGTCGCGTATGTCAAATCGAAAAACTTGGACTTCTTGGGTTCCGCAAAGGAACACCATGTCGAGATTCTCAGCTATTGTAACAAAAACTCAGGAAACCTTCACATGCTATTTCATCACTTCGATGGAAGGATAGAAGTATTCGAGAGTAGCATTGCTGATTTTCTAGACCCGACTTCCAAGGCCAAAAATCGACTAATCCATCGCGCAACTTGGTCTGGACATTCTGCTCCGGTCAAAAAGATTGTACGAAATTTTAGTGGTCAGGCGATCGTATCAAGGACAGAGCAGGGCGAAAGTATTGTCTGGCGACATACTCCTGGCCCACTGCGAAGAAAATTATTACGACATAATGTTATCCCTGAGAAGCGTCATATACATCGAATATGTTTGATTAGAGGAGGTCGTTTTGTCGTATTCCTACATCATGAAAGTATTTCTGTCTGGGATTGCACTTCATCAACGCATACGCTGCTTGCTGACCTCAAATATCACGTCCGTGGCAAGCCCCTTTGCATCATCGTGCTTCCCCGTGAGCGGGTAGATGACGATTCAGTTGCACATATCGCAACAGTCACCTCGGAGCGGGAGGGCATAGTTTGGGAACTTCATCTGCCTATGGAGAAGAATAATTCTACCAAAGTATACATTAATGGCCGCCTTCGAGAGTTTTGTACGTTCAAATTAGAAGACTCTGGCGACTTGGCCTATGTCTTACCGGTTGATCCTGCTGGTGTTTCACACGTTATATCTGGTTTCTTAGATGTGTTTGCTCGGGACGTTGCTGTATCCTACACTCATGACGGTCGCGTTGAATTTTGGACTGCCAGAGTTTCTCAAGAACGAAGTCAAGTCGAATGGCTTTCGACTTCTTCAATGGAGACTGACATCCCAGAGCCCGCATTGGTCAGTGGCAGCATGATGAAAAAAGCTGCTCTCGTGAATGCACAACGCTCAGAGCTGACGATTTGGGATATTCGAGGGGCCCGGTTAGAATATAAGCAGGATTTTGAGAATCATAACCCAGTGCAAGACCTGGACTGGACGTCTACACCAGATTCGCAGTCAATTCTTGCCGTTGGCTTCCCATATCGCATCATCCTTCTCTCGCAGATGCGCTTCGACTACTTAAATAAAGGCCCTGCTTGGGCGCCGATCCGCGAGATTAATATCCGAGATTTCACACCTCATCCCATTGGGGACTCAACTTGGCTCAGCGATGGCAATTTAGTCATCGGTGCTGGCAACCAACTATTTTCTTATGATAGGACTTTTGAGATAACCGACCGATTGATCCCGAGCGCACGCGTATCACATCGTAAAGACGGGGCCAGAGACCTGTTTGAAATTGTTCAAAGATTAAATGGACCATTGCCAGTCTTCCATCCTCAATTTCTTAGCCAGTGTATACTCGCAGGGAAACATAGTCTGGTTCGGCACGTACTTCTGGCTTTAAACCACACGTTGAAGTACCATGTAGAGGGCGATTCGATCGACGATTATCTGGGCCTGGATCTAGAGGATTTCTACCTCCGTAAAGTAAGTAAGATAAATTTCACTTGAGGGTTAATGTACTAAGCTTTTAGGGATCAATGTCCATTGGCGGCAACGACTCGTCCTATCTTATGTCCCAGATGTCGTTCGATGACACTGACGAAGTATTTACGGAAGAAATCGCCTTGGCTATCTGCGAAAAGCTGCAACAAGTTACTATACCCCAACTTTCTGGCCATGAGCAGATCCAATTGCTTGATATCGTTGAATGCGTTGGAGTGGTAGAGAAGCAGCGTCGCTCGATGGACGAGAATGGTGCTAGGTTCATGTTATTCTTCCGGCAGCACGCGCTAAGAAAGGGCAGAACCAACGAAATTCACATGTCGTGGAGGGAAATCAACTGGGCTTATCATTCTACCAGTCAGGATATACTGACAAATTTTGTATCCCGCCAGTATCACGGCACCATGCTGTGGGAGAATGCCAGGGAAAGCGGTATGTTTATGTGGCTTACAGATGAGGCCGCTGTGGTAAGCTTGATCACTTAAAGTGTCGTGAACTTCTATCTAACCTATTTAATATATAGAAAGCACAGTTCGAAATTGTGGCTCGTAACGAGTACACGAAAAGCGAGATGAAGAATCCTGTGGATTGCAGTCTCTTCTATCTCGCCTTGAAGAAGAAAGCTGTCCTTCAGGGTCTCTGGCGCATGGCGACTTGGAACCGCGAACAAGTACCAACGCAACGGCTCTTGGCGAACAACTTTGAGGACCCCAAGTGGAAGACGACGGCTCTGAAGAACGCATACGCTCTCCTGAGCAAGCGCCGTTTTGGTAAACACTCCTTATGCTATCTATGAAGCACGCATGTACTAACATGAGATGCAGAATACGCGGCTGCCTTCTTCCTCCTCGCAGACCACTTACAAGATGCGGTGAACGTCTGCATCAACCAAATCAAGGATATCCAACTCGCTATCGCTATTGCGAGGGTATATGAAGGCGATAACGGACCCGTATTAAGGAAGCTACTAGAAAACGAGGTCCTAGCCCTTGCGGCTCAAGAAGGTAATCGTTGGCTGGCTTCGTGGGCTTTCTGGATGTTAAAGCGGAAAGACATGGCGGTCCGCGCTCTCATTGTGAGTTTTTATCGAAATTGATTTTACGATCAAAAGCTAATCCCCTGAAGACGCCCGTCTACACACTATTAGAAACACCAGCCTCATCAGACAACCTGAAGGCGAAACTCTTTCTCACGGATGACCCAGCCCTTGTTGTATTGTACGCCCAGCTTCGACAGAAGACGTTGCAAACGCTCCGCGGGGCATCTAAGGTCATGCCGAGGACAGAGTGGGAATTTGTCTTGCACAATGCCAGACTCTACGACCGCATGGGCTGTGACCTCCTCGGCCTAGACCTAGGTAAGTTGCCAAACCTTACTTTTACCTCCTATTCCACATCGATGGCCTCGCTAACCACTATATAGTTCGCAACTGGGAATTCCTCCGACATACTACGCCGACGGCTCCAGACCTTGGCGGCGAGATAGATCCTAGCAAGCTCATACGGCGCCGCCGCTCGCTAGTTGTCCAGGACATGCCTGTGTCGCATGTAGCCCCGACCGATATGAAAACCGGCGGCCACGGCTTCAAGCCACCGCCCAGCGTTTTCGAAGAACCTGATGCGAATTCACTTCTGGATAGTTTTGGGCTCTGATGGATCCCTCAGTAGGCCGGTTCGCGTGGAATGTCGGGAAATGTTGTGTTCTGATAGACGTACTATATCAGCTCTTACGAGCTAGGTCCTGTTTATGTTTTTACCTAATTATGCGCGGAAGATGCTAGCAGGGCGAAGCAGCGGGCGTTTTAAAAGCGTAAAAGTGCATTTAATATGGATCACATCCTCATAGCCGTGTTCTTTCTAGAGCTCCCCATGTAGACGAGTTCTCAGGGGTCGATAAAGGGCTGGTGGGAAAGGAGTGTGTATCTGGCGGTAATGCCGATAGGGGATCAGTTCGAGGCGAGGTCTGTATTATAATATGTTGCTCTAGTTAGTATTAATTAGCAGCTAAAGCGTCAATGTGGTCTATTGGTTGCTTGGTGTGTGTTGGAGTCTAGGACCGGTTCAAGATGTCTGATTCCGACACCTAACTCCAATAACTTGTAATTCGTCAAGCTTCTAGAACTGATCGTAGACTCTGTCCGGACATCCACGGAGGTTCGTAAAACATACATCCATATATCTTACTTCCGTTGTATCTCCAGCCAGCATAATAACCGAGGGAAACAGGCATAGCAGCCGTGCACCGACGTAGAGATCCTTTATTACCTAGGTATTCATTCACTCTCTACACCGCCTGCGAGTCTTTCCAGAGTTCCGCGATGGGAAGCCGAGGTAGTATAGTAATAGGTTGGTCCCGTTGTCCCATCTTCGTTACGGGGGAAAGGGGTATCGTGAGGTGGATCCAGAAGGTATAGCAACAACGTCGGTGTTCCGCGAGGAACCATGAAACTAAACTAGGAAGCTCATATATGGGATAGGTATCCATGAATATACCGAAAGTAGTCTTTGATCTAGATGTCTCATCTACCTAGAATCTTAATGAGGTTGGAACTCGGGAAACATTTACATCGCAGTCTGGTGTTATTGTAGGAACCTTAGGTAGACAATATAATGGGTATAAGCACGGCCAAATAAGCATAGGTGTGTGTGCATGTGCCCAGTAGAATATAAGCGTCTGAGGGCAGTATTGTAATTATTAGGCATTCGGGAGTTCTGTATAGCTTCAAATGATTCAAATAACGATTCATCGCCGAGTTCTTGACCTAGTAAACTCATCCCTACCATCCAATATTCCGAACGTACCTCAAGGCAGACACGTAAGTAACCTTGACATTCTGACGTCGGCGGATATCCTCGTAATGGGAGGTATTGGACAAGCCCGGGCCCATTCCATTGTATGTTGAGCACCTGGTTTGGAAGTGATATGGAGAAATCTCACCATGGTACCGAATATCGCCACGGCATAGCCACTTCGGCGAACCATAGACAGGCTCGCATCGGGGAATATATTACCATGAATGCACAGTGGCTTCATGCGTTATCTTTTTACTTGAGATATATTGACAGTGCTAGGTTACCTTAGTTGCTAATAGCCACTATCTAATACGCTGCTCGACAAGTCACCGTAGTATGTAAGGCTTAATTATAGTATATCCAACGCCTTCTACTGTTAACCTGTAATTAATGATAAAATCAGCGTTTATAAATTAGCCTAGCAAGATTTCATATGTTACGATCAGTATCTTTGAATCTGTCGAGCATAAGGCAGAAAATAACGATGCAGTCCTTGGCTACGCTGCGGGTCGCGGCCTGGGGCCCGAGTTTCGCCCGAACAGTAGGTATACACCATGTAACGACGAGCCGAAGATGCTAAGCAGCCGAGTTAAAGTCCACAGATCTTGGCTGCTCGGTAAAGTACCTAGGTAGGTGAACTATGTATGTATTCACATGCCGGCTGTTGGGGGCCTATCCTAAAGTCAATTTCAGGGTTGCTTTGCTGCGGACGGATTTTACGTGGTCTCGTCGATGCGAGTTCTTATAAGAAGGGCCGTCTATGTAGAATATTCCGAGATAGTTTCTTCATCCCTCACTACAGCCGTGTAGGATAATAAGACAACATCCTCTCCCTTGAAGATTCCTAAACTCGTCTGGTTCGCAAATTCTTCGTGATACTCGAGTCAGAATGCGATACGGATTACTCCTTTCTTCCCTTCTAGGGCTCAATGGGGTTCTAGCGGCCGACAAGGTCCCCATTGGCATGGAGGATGCCTTGACAACAGCAAATATGCCCGCCGAGTTCCTCGAGGACGTGTATTTCGTCGACCATGTCCCCCTCATGGCGCTACAAGCCGACACGCGTATCTCTTATGCTCTATACATCCCAAAGGACCACTATAACCCGGACCCGAGCAAAAGCGCCACTCCCAAGAAACTCCCTTTGCTCGTCTACGTCCACGGCACCGGTCGGAACACGGTTGCCATCTACGATGAGCTCGTCCCCTTTGCCGATTCGACTCCCTGTGCCATCCTTGCTCCCCTGTTCCCCGCCGGCTTGGACGGCCCTAACGACCTCGATTCGTACAAGGAGCTTAAATCGGATACGCTCCGTTCGGACCAAGCTCTACTACAGGTTCTCGACCAAGTCGCCTACCGCTGGCCCGGCCTCGAGATGGAGAAGGTGTTTATGATGGCATTCTCCGGCGGTGGCCAATTCGCCCATCGATTCATGTATCTTTACCCCGAAAAGCTCGCCGCAATCAGCATCGGTGCCCCTGGACGTCCTACATTCATCGACGACACCCAGAACTGGCCCGTCGGAACCAAGGACGTGAAGACCGTATTCGAAAAGACCATCCAGCCGGACGTCATTGGAAAGCTTCCTATTCAGCTCGTCGTTGGCGGTAATGACACCGTGATCCACGGAGACGAGGCTTTCTGGGAGTGGAAGAAGGAGACTCTCGGTAGCGGAGGACTTCCCCCTATGAACAAGACCCGTCTTGAATCGATCCAGGAGCTCCGCGCGTCTTGGGAGGACCTGGGGATTAAGACCCAGTTCGATGTCGTTGGCGGTGTGGCCCACGATGAGAAGGGTGTCCGATCGGCTGTCTTGGGATTCCTCGGCCCTCAGATCAAGAAGAGTGCTTAGAGCCTCATAAGACGACTAACGATAGCCAAGTCGAATTATTCTGACGGTATGGGAAGAACATGAGAAGGATGAGGGGTTTGAAGAGGATACCAGGGGGGTTAAAGAGTATGAGGAGGAAATAGGGGATATAGACTTATTAGAAGGGGCGGTTACACCGAAATATTCGCTGGAGTTATGGTTCTGAATTAATCACATAGCCTAGCTCCAAGCACTCGTAGCGCTTGATGTTCGTCCTGTACATATAAAGTTTTATGGCTTCTCTTTTTCATAAATTGCTAGACATACCTTTCTAATCTGATAGCTCCACTGTGGTCGCGTTCAAGATACCTATGATATGATAACCTAGTCGAAGTAACAACTAGCTTTAGAGTCAAACCAATGAGCCTCGGGGTTTGAATTACGTTTGAAGGATATAGTTAGATGTCTTATGTACTATTGTTTGCGTATCTACCTAGACATCGAGGTCGTTGGTGTCGGTCAGTAAACTTTGGAATAGGGGTAAAATGTTCACCCGATATAATTCAATCATGGATGGTGAAAAGAGCTGTAGGTATGAGTAGTAGATATGATTTGATTAACTACCCAAGTACCTAGGTAGGTAGTTACTTAAACTAAGCTTCATCGTGATCTATGGGGGTAATCTTACCTAGGTACCTTATAAGTTATATATACTTCTCGCCAGGATGCCTGTATCTGGCAGCAGTCCCTCGACCACTTATTTACCTCAACAACGAAGTACCTACATACCGGGATAGTTATCCGAGTATGGGATTGATTTTCTTTCGTACTGCCGTGTATGATGTAGATAGGGTGAAATTCAAATCTTTGCGTGACTACGGGGTATACGAGCGACTTTAGTGAACCACGGCCGCACACGTAATAAGTGATGTAAACTTGTCGACTAACGTACTCTGGGGAAGCCTAGCCTATCGCATCAGGTAATTTTCCACTCAAAACAGCTACCGGACCGGCTAAGAATTCAGAAAAGTCAATTTAGGCTATGGTCGGTCCTACGGTCGTTAAAAACATTTCATCGGGCCGGAAGATTTATATATGTGTCAGGGTATAGTGGGTCAGGGTGGCTACAGGGGCTGTACGAGTATATAAGAGGCGCTTCGCGCCCTCGTCAGAGGTTAGAAGGCCAGGCGTTACTAAGTTCAATACAATCACTACTTGGTCTACTACCCTAGACATTCACTCTATGCATGATTTACCTCACTAGGGCACCCTCCTCCTGACAATATGATATATATGGGAATGATACCATAATACCTACCCAAACGACATATTAATCCGTGATGTTCGAACGCTTAGATGTTCAATTATTTTCTACATATGTGCTTCAGCGGCGGATGTTCCGGACTTATAATTTACTTAGTAAATAAGAATATATAATTACAATTTATCTTATATTCTTGGTTATTCTACACTACTACCTACCTAACTGCGGCTGAAACAAGCTGTCGAGCTGCTGGGTGTTTGGGCTATCTAGTAGTTGAATTCTCCTCAGGATGCTTTTCGTATATTTTACCCAGAGCACATCGCTAGTTCTACCTACCTGCTACTAAGTAGGAACGGCCGATGAGATACAGCCGTATATTCACTAGGAGTTAACGGAATGTCCGACGAGGAGACTGGTCAAGTCAGACTAGGTAGTTGCTATGCGTAGGCAACTTATGTTGAACTCGTGGAGAAGATGATAGGGCCCCTTGGCTAAGGAATTGGTGGAGAAGAGTAGTAGATTATGCCTGGGGGCAAGGTAAAGATATATAGATGACCTTTTCCGGTGTGTTTACCATGAAAACTTGACTCCTCCCGACAAGATACTCAACCCATCCTGAGATATTCTTGCCTTACAGATAAACATGTATTTCAAAACCTGCCTCTTGTCTCTTCTGCTCGTTTCAGCGCGGGCCCGAGACATCCCCTTTAATATAAAGAACTTCTACGAGTCGGTGGTAGCGCAGGGGTCGTGCAAACGGCCGCTGCAGACGGGCTTTTACGACATGGCACACAGCGATGACAATAGTGAGTAGGTAGGACTATCGAAGTACCCGAAGCATCTGCTTAGCTCTATTTATTATCTAGACTTTACCTATTGTGGTGATCATATACAGGATTACGGCATCATCTACTTGCAGGGTAGCGGTGGAAAGCTGGCAAACATGGATATCGCTTGTGATGGACTCATTGGCAAGAACGACGACGGCCGTTGCGACAACGCTCGTTCGAGAAAGAATGAGACTGCTATGAAGCGTCACGTGTCGCGCTACAGTCACGGTGTCCCGGATCTCAACCCATTTATCCACGTACGTATGCTCGAGATTCTTCCCCCTTTCGGCTAGCCTGGGTCTTGCGCGTCCGGAGTCTTGAGCTATAGGAAGTCTCTATTATTCTTTAGGGAGTCTATCCTAACTAGCTCCGATTCTCACGGCTAGGCAAGCGATTACTGACTTTCGTGGTTGCAGAACTACGTAGTGTTCGGCAACACCGGTGTTAAGCCCGGCTGGGTAACGTTCGAGCCTCGGGCCTATGACATCCGGCCCCTGAGCATAATGGCCGTCGTATGTAACAACAAGCTGGTACGTATATCTAGTTACTCAAGAAGTAAGCCTACGCGTATTCTTAAAGAGTATTGACGGAGAAATAGATTTACGGTATATGGGGAGACACGAACGGCGATGACGGTGTAAACCCTAGGGTTGGAGAAGCTTCCATATCAGTTGCTACTCTCTGCTTCGGCCACGATGTAGATGGCGAGGTAGGCTTTGACGAACAGAAAATACTGTATATCGGGTTTGTTGGCCCTGAAGCGGTCCCGGGTCCGCGTGCGTACTGGAAAGCAGCCGACGAGAACGAGTTTCAGGCGAGTATTAGGGGTCTTGGTGATAGGCTTATTCGGCAGATCGGCTTGTATTGATAGGCCATTGGGGTTTATATATATGCCTTGAAGATCTAAATCATACTGGTGGTGGTTAAAGGGAGTTCACATTAAAGTGGACTATCATTCTGAAAATTTCTACTCCTGAAAATTTGGTATAGGTAATTTGTAGCATACTCTTCCCAATATACCCAGGTTCTGTTATTGGCTGTCGGGTTTAAAGTATATTGAGTAGTGGGTTTAGTTATTCTATAATGTTAAAAATATCTGGTTATCTCTCACACTTATAGGCGATAATGAAGGTTGAGCGAAGAAGGCTTAGTTTGCATATACCTTTTTATGACAGCCGGGAGTGGCGTAGGATTAATCTCTTGTAAGCCAGATATGAGATAACCCCTTTCCCGCAGTCAGCCCCCTATTTTTTTTAAGAGTAGCCAATTTACCACGAAATGCTCATATTAACTAAATCTTCATGCTTAAACTAGATACCTTCGATTATGAGTGAGATTATTAAGGTAGAAAGAGTCGGTGGCTCGCGGCTTAGGACTAAGGTATCTGAGCCTTCGAAGATGTCGGAAATTTAACTACCACAAGCAAGTTACTAATCAGATCAGAACGATAATGGTTCCTTATTCTTGATCTGCTTTTCATATGTATAAATCTAATTTAAATATTAATAATAATATCTTCAACGCGAAAAGACCGAGGCAGTCCCTAGACACAACCCAGTCATGGACCTCGGATGCCGGCAAGCGAGAATAAAGCTATGCAGAAACCCATAGCGACCCCCCAGACCACCGTCCTAAAGGGAGTAATCCTGCGGTTCTCCTGCCCCCAAATGTAAATCCACGTGTAGACCACGCGAGCCGCCAAATAGCCCAAGGTCAGATTATTCAGCGTCTCGGCAGGGAGACTGGCGGCATTCCCGGCCGTCACGGCCGCGGCGTAGAAGCCGAGATTTTCAAAGGCGTTGGCGCTCGCTGATTCGGCGCGTAGCAGCCGGCCTTTTAACTGGTTTTCTTGGGTCAGCGACGCCGAACGCCGAGGCTGGTAAATAAATAAACTCCCGCGACTTACTTTCTTGTCTAGTTCAGCGGTCTCGAGCTTGGACGCGAATGAGCGTGGGTTGTTAGGGTCGAAGAACTTCTTGCCTGGACCCGTGAGACCCGAGTACACTCGCGGCAGCAGGGCCTATAATATCATGCGCAAATTGGGATTAGCGAGGGGATGGACGGCGCGCAGAGACTTAAGAGCAATTCGTACCAGAACGATCGCCGCCGGGATCTGTTGAAGGTGTTAGTGTGAATATCTTAAATAGGTACCTAGGATAGGATTTGGAGCGTGGGGAATAACTTACAGTGAAGTAAGAGATATTCTTTTCGAGGCCGAGATACGAAGACATTTTTACTTTAGGTAGTTAATTTCTTTAATTTCTTTTCGGGTTACTTGGTGCAATATCAACACAGGTTCAGTTTCAATTTCTAACCTACGGGTTTCTTCAGAGTTTGTTTTATACTTTTCACGTCACCACGAGTCCACGACCAGCTGGCTACATAGCTCCCATTCTAGTAACCGACGGCAATGCGAATCTTCCATTCTCATTAAAAGTTAAAAATGGTATATTTTAGTGGATCTTAAGCGCAAGGGATATTAATTAGGTAGGTATTTAACCCGACTAGCAGGAACCTTTTGTCGTGTTTAGGTAGCTGGATAACATCGTAGCAGCCGGATTACCCCGTGCTCCACCTCGCCGAGATGATTCGAATTAAGATGACGAATGATTCGGGGTTTGGTGCTGTGACAAGGCTCTTTTGCTGGGTTAAACTAGATTAAGTGTAGATTAGGTTAGCAGGTTAGGTACCTAGTTAAAAGCCATAATTCCTACGGGATCTACTATACGATAGCTGGATAGGTAACCAACCCCCTGAGAGCAATTGGTCCACTTTACTTCGAGCTGAACATTACTAATGTCACATATTAATACATACTGCAACTAGGTATTATCAAAACTAGAAAGTTGAACCGCTTAACCGCTTAACCGCTCTGGCTTATAAACCCGCCCGGAATAGATCGCCAAGGCGAGACATTGATTGTTACGCTGTGCATTTTTAACCCGGCTCGCGGAGCAGTGGTTACATCAGGCGGGCGGCTTGCATCTAAATTACCGAATGCATCTGACCTACCAAGCAGTCATCAGTACGCGCGCTATATGCGCCTATCTTATAATAGTATCATCTACGTATATATGCATACGCGTGTAGTCGACAGCCAAAGTCATTTGTGAAGATTCGCACCATCAAGTCCTCTTACTCGAAATCAATTCGTTCTGGGTATCATAAGCTATCATTTTCTCTATCCCTATCTAATATCACAGAATTAAACCATTATTCGTTGCGAGGCCTCCAGCGCCTAGCACACGAAATATCCGCGCCTTGAGGAACAGGCCGCTAAGAAGACATTTTATACCAAGTCATTAGGACCTCCCCAATCTCCCCATAGATCATTCAGGTCGGAACCGAGCATTTCGAAATTGAAATCGGGATTCGGAATAGGAAGTGTGCTAGAATCTGAGGTTGATGGTAGTAACCACGGCATCGACAGTGGTAAGCCATCCCGCTGCTGATATGACGTGGTCGCCATCTGAATAGTAGGTGTTGTATCCATGGGGAACGGTGTAATTGACTTGGGTATCTGTTAGTAACTCCTCCGAGAAAGGGGACTGGCTTATCACATACCTTTGCTCGGTTAATTGGGTCTTGACCTGTCTGCGAGGAAGTCGAAAGAGGTTGTGGTGGTTGGGAGGAATAGGGCGGAATCTGGAATGCGAGCAGCTTGTAATGTAGACTGATAAACCGTTCTGCCGCGGAAGCCTTGGCTGCCTCCGACGTCTTAATGCCCATGTGCGTCTCTAAAAGGCCGTAAGCCGCGCACATTGACGAGTACCCCCACGGATCGTTATTGCCGCATCTCAGCACGCGGTCTTCTTTCATAGTAATGCACCTCTCAATGAGTCTAAGAGTCTCTTGTGAGTTATACATAATCAGGCTCGACGAATCTATTGGCATCTTATTAGTGTCGCCGTAGAATGAAAATGAAAATAAAAATAAGAAGAGCGTCGTATACCTTTCGGTTGATGCAATGTTACGTTGCAGAGGTTGATGACCGAATTCATTGTGTCTTCACGGAGGAAATAGAGTGTCCGAATTCCTTTTTGGTACAGCCGATCGTGCATTATAACGATGTCTCGAGCCGCGGTATAATAAATGAGCTCCGCGACCTGGTACTTGGAGTTAAATTTCCTAAGCTTTAGGTACGGTTGGAGAAGCGGAATTAGATATTGTCTTAGTTGGAGATGTAGTAATGTATGTGCTAAGATTGGCTTTCGCGAGTGCTCCGGGCCCTTTTCATTGTCCAAATCCCATGATGGTAGTCGGTCGATCTCGTGAGTAATCATGTCGCTATATTGAAGGACCTGCTCCCATTCAAGTTCTGCTGGTGGTCCGGTCAATAGCTTGTTCAGCTCCGTACGAAGGGCGAGACTCTGGCGACTTAAATGTAGATACGACGTATATGTGTAATCGTGAGCTGGACGCGAAATAGGCAGTTCCTGGGAACTTTCGTTGAAGCTATCGTCATCTATATTTCTAGGCGCGTCGGAGTCATTCTGAACTGTATTCATAAGCGTGGGAAGACCTTGGTCAAATGATGACTGGACGTCGAACTCGACTATAGTAGCCCATATTCTTCGTCGCATCTCCGCAATATACGGGGACACTTTCCCTACCACGCGATCAGGGTCCTGATGAAGTCCTACCATGAGACTATCGCGAATCATTGTACCGGATGTAGTCCAAAATCGCTTCTTCTTGATGAGATTCACTCGCTTAGCAAGATAAAGAAGGCAAGCGATTTGATAATGGACGAGTTTGCGGTGTTTCTGGCTTTGCCGCGAGTACCACTCGTCACATGCCTTGACCCATTTCTCGGCCATCTGAATCGAGCTAGATTTAATGCCTACAAATTTGTTGGATGCCTGCATATCCAAGCAGCAGGATACAGAAATCATGGACAGTAGGAGGGCGGTAAATGAGGCGGTGTTTGTCTTGGATGGGTCCCAGTATGTCTCATACTCGGCTTTGAAGGTTGGTATGTGAACGACGCGATGAATCTGCTCGAACTGATCTAGATACACGGCGACGAGAGAGTCTGTTTCTTCTTTAGAAGGGAGAAGCGACTCTAGACCAACGTCAGACTCGGTAAATTTCTTGTCGCGGTCCTCCTTTCGCTTTCTGCGATCCTTCTTTTGAATATTGAGAGGTTTGAGCCACTCCTCGGCCGTCTCTCTCATGAAATGAAATATACCGGTAAGTTCCTGAAGGGACGACCATGCGTTGTGCGGGCCAAAGTATTTAGTCTTAAAGTCATGCCCCCGCAAATTCCCGTATTCAAACAACTCGATATTTTGCGGAGTGCATGTAGGATTTGAAGGTACAGACTGACCATCTTTGACAGAGTCCTTCAAGGTCGATGGCGAGGCCACCATTGTGCTACCATCAACCGATGCTTGTTTTGATAAAGCACTTCTCAGTTGGGCAACTTCGAGTTCAAGTCGCCGAATCCTGTCATGATCACGTACAGCATCTCTGAGCACAGACGGCTCAACCTCGCGACGGGTTGAGGGAGGATTCGTAGAGTGACGACGGGCGTCGGAACTAAATGACACGGGAAGAGCAGAAGGGGTAAAGGAAGGTTTCTCTCCTGCGGGGACCGCCGTTACGCCGGGTCTCGACTCATAAGTACACCTCTCGGGTGTCCCGGATTTGATACAACGATCACAAGGCAGCTCCCTAGAGCATGAAAGCTTTCGGCGGCGGCACTCTAAACATGAAAGCCTTACTCTTTGCCGCTTCCGTGCGGGGCCTTGATGATGATCCTCTTGGTCCTGGTCTTGGTCTTGGTCATGCTCATCATCCTCGGATGGCTGAGGCGCGTTACTGGCTTGGGCATCAACCATCGTCCTGGAGGTGAATTCACGGTAATAGGGTATGGTACGAAATTTGGCCAGGCTTCCGGTCAAGTCGAATCTGCTAGATTGATAAGATGGATTGAGAATAGATTGAATTTTCTTTTTGTTACATACCTAGACATTGGAGAAGACGATGAATCACAAACGTCCGTAGACTCGAAAGCAGTTCGGAGTTCCGAGGCCCGACGCGGAATTCGGATTTAAGTGGCTCGCGAAGAAAGAGGCAGCAGTTAGATTAGTCAGATTAGTGATTAGGTAGTCAGGACAGCTAGCAGTACAGTACGCCCCCTGAAATAATGTTATTCAGCGGACCCCTAGAGCTACTTCGCTGAGATCCTGAAGCGTATATCTATTGCCACCCTGGGAGGTCGTTATAGTCTTCTAAAAACGTTGTTTCGGAGTATTTTATGCTATAAAACCCTGGTATAATAGTTGAGATGCTTTAAAGGGCGTTGTTCTATTCAGAATCCGAAGCCCTGCTTTGTATCGTGCACGTCCGAAAAACTAACATTATTTCAGGGGGTGTAGTGTACAGTGTGCGGGGTAAAGTTCAGGGAAAGGCTTTGGGGTGCGGCTGGGATAACCTCGGATGTTTACATAAGGTCGATTAAGTACCTAGGTAAACTCGGGCCTTTGTGTAACCTCGCGGGGTGGTTTTTAATCATAACCATACGTATAAATATTTGTAAAATATTATAAATTTTAACCTATCTTTATTTTAAATTTATTAAACGCTGTTTTTAAAACTTACACCTATAATGGTATAAGTTATGCGTTATATATAATAAACGGGCGTAACTTGCGAAAATAACTTAAGATAACTAAGTTGAATCGTCCATGATCCATCTTCTATACTGTACTGTCGGTACCTGTACACCCGATCTTGTCCACTTATAACTTAGATGGAGACTTTCGACAAGACAGCGACGAGACAAAGGCTCTCATGCTTACTGTGGCTGCATATACCTCTTGGTAGCGAGTTCTCCTAGTCGTTTATGCTGTAATACTGTATACGGTATCTGACTTACCGAGTCATCTCGAGCGCAAGTCCGGTGTGTTGAGTTGATTAATCTCTATCGTTCTCTTTCGTTGACTGGTTGATAACCAAGCGTCATACGCCAATCAACCCCTTCTTCGAGATATCGGCCAACCTTTGATCGACGATAGTGAATTTACTTGCATCGCCCCCTGTTACAGCTCAGAAAGGCGTAAAATAACCGGCGAACCACTGCTAACGATTATCTTAATACATAAGTACCCTACCCTTTTGATGTCTTTTTATAGCTGTATAGAAACCCTGGATAGTGTTTAGTTTATCCCCATGCAAAATTATGCACGTCGTCTCGAGAATAGAGTATGTGGGCTGCTCATTACTATGATGTGAGAGACGCGAAGGTCCAGTCCCTACGCTTTTGCACGTAGGCCTGCCACTGTCATTTTCGAGGTCTTACCTCGGAGCAGCAAAATACATGTTACCCTCTTAGCTGCGGATAGATCTAGGCCTCGTTCTTCGAAACTCGAGAATCCCACGGGAAAAAGAAAAGAAAAGAAAAGACGAAAGATGAAGAATTCCAAGAAGCGAATAGCGAACATTAGTTGGTAATCCCCTCACCCCAGCGCTGAGAAACTGGTGAGAGTCTGGAGAAAATGAAAACCTTTTTCGCAGCGGCTGACTCCTATTCCCGGGGTATATATGTACTTAACGCATCATAGCCAAATCCATCTAGCAATTTAAGCATTAAGGGTAGGAAAGAAGAAATCAAATCAAAATGAAACTAAAAACGAATTTGACAAGTCGTGTAGGTAATAAATATTTGCCTGGTCGCATATGATGTGGTCTGCGGTGGTCTGCGGTGGTCTGCGGTGGTCGCCGAACGTGGGTGGCAAATCTCCCCTTTAAAGCAAGGAAGCATACAGGCGGCGGCTCAAATAGCGGGGGCGAAGGGGTGATCCCTCCTAGACGGAACATCATCGTCATGATTGGCCCTGGCATACCGCATCGGCCACCACTCCGAACCCTACTAGGGGCAGTCTCTGGATAGGCAGGGGTACAGAGAGTGGCGCGACGTGGCCGAGTGTGACCTGCCGTAGCGAGCGTCATTGGTTACTGATTATTATAGAACGCACCCCCTTGGGTCGAGCTCTTATAATTCAGAGTTCGACGGAACTGACAGAATTGTCAGAAGATCCATGTCTAAAATCTGAAAATAAATCGCTTAACTGCTTCCTTATGCTCTGGAGCGTTAGGGATACCGTGGTAATATGACGTTGGGATTGTCCTGTTCCATGGCTGCTTGTATGTGGCGTTCCCACCAGTGGACAAACTGGTTGAGCGTTCGCTCAGAGTTTTCATCTGCCATGCTGAAAATTCCTATGGGCCACCCAGACCGAATTTCAACGGCCATGAAATTTGGCCGGCCATCGCCTTCTTCGATTTCGGTGATATCTCTGAACAGCTGAGCATCCTCGGCACTTAATGACTGCCTGAACAGGCGGAAGACTACTTCCGCCACGTAGTAGTTTTGGCCCTGCTCCCACAATCCTTTGGCGCAGAGTAGAAGTGTTGATCGTATTGCCTCGTGGGCCGCCGAACCCTTCTCAACCAATGAGGCGTCTTTCAGAGTGCCGAACCCTAGCAGGGCTAGTAATTGGACGAGCGTGATATCGAGAGACTCGAATCCGTGGCGCAGATAGTAGGCCCGCAAAAGCGTCTCGAAACAAGCCTTTGAATGCTTGACAATGATACCGGGATTCGCTTCGGCATGTATATAACCCATCTGCATGAACGGCTCGAAGAGACTGATGAGAAGCACATGGTAATACATACTGAAAGTTATCAGTAACGCGATTATGCCCGGGAAACCCGTTGCAAACAATAGACGACCTTACTGTATCTTGAGATGTGACGGCATAACAGCATCTTGAGCTTGGAGCGGCTTTGGTAGATTCTCATACCAAGTCGAGAGTCTCGCTCTAAACTCTACGGCAGCATTAAGAGACATTCGGTTGAAGTTCCTCGCATGGCTAAACGACAGTGCAGTAATCTCATTCATGATGACGCGGAACTGGGAGACCGTCCTGAACACCAAGCCATTGAGTATAGGTACCAAGTCGCGGCCGAGGGGATATTTCACCCATATTTCTCCGTAAAATGCCGAGGCATCATCGATGTCAGGGAGCGGACGATTTGGCGGGTCTTTAACTAGCGGCGGTTGGAACGTGTGGAAAGTGGCGAGTCTATGGTAGGTCTCAGTACAAGTAACATTATCTAGGGCCCTTCGTACCGGGTGAGTGAGGGTAAGGGACCTACGCTTGCCAGTTGAACAGACACCACGCCGTTGTTCCGGCAGCGACCTGCCATTCCTTACTTTCATCCGGCCCAGGGGAGAAGAGAGAGAGGTCTCGAGCAATTTCGATGGATTTATATGTGTAGATCCAGCTTATCTCGTCAATACCATTGAGATTGCACGTCAAATTGATAATGGCCGCTGCTTGAGCCGTGGTAATCGCGGGTTGTGCCTGTTCGAGTTCGAAGAGCCTGCGGGCTTCAGCAAGAAATCGATAGCCTAGGTTATCCGGATTCCAATATTCGGCCCTATTCTTCATCCGACTATAGCCATGCTTCACGATACATTAGCGTAGGCGGTCTAAAGCGCTGCTTTGGTAGAGGAGCCGTCCTTACCCACGCAGCACCGAGAACAGCATTTACTAGCAGATGGGAACAAAATCGCTTGCTACCAATGAACATATCGTCAAGAAACAAATCTTTATGAAAACAAGGATGGAAAGGATATATAAAGACAAAGTATATCTGCAAAAGAATGCGTAGCATAGGGTTATCCGATGAAACTGTTGTCCAGCTTGACACGTCCATAGACGATATTCGAGGATCAACGAGTTCGACGGTGTGATATGGCGCAAGATACATCTTCTGAGACTCTTCCGCGACGTCTCTTAGTATTTCTATGTACGTTTGTGGCTGGTGCGACTGCGTACTCGTCTTCTCATATACGGTCGACTGGAGATATGGATTGTACCATTGATTTAAAAAGGGAGGCATCTCCCGGAGGTACGGAAATTCATACCGGAATCGAAGCTCTGGCTTGAGCGAAAGCTGGAGCAGCAAATCACCGTCTTGGACAGCCTTGACGATGGTTTGCGCATCTTCGCCCATACGGAGTCGTTGCAAGACTTGGGCAATTTCTTCGTCAGGTCGAGATCGAAGAATCCCAAAGAGATCTTCGTACGCTTGGCATTTAATTTCGAGGTCGGTCAACTTGCGTTTCTGCGCTCTCAGGTGTGTTTCTGTCGGGAGTGTCGTGTATTCGCAGGGCGTTTGTCGTTCGACGCAGACGGAACATCGCGGTCGTTCGGCGGTGCACTACATTTTAGTCAGCCTCAAATTAGGTATTATTGAGGAAGATAGGAAGGGTTCGACCTTGCTCTTTCGTTTTCGGCAGGCCTCACAAGCCGCTGGAGCGGCTATTCGTTTTACACGATGTTGGGTCTGCGATAAACCGTCCACGCGAGGAGGGTTGGGGGAGTTGGGCAAAAGTGGCCGTAGAGGATGCGACATACAGAATACGCGCAAATCCAAGACACTATGTTCACTAATAGAGGTATTATTGTTGAGATTATAAATATCTTGGGGTGATTATTCTGTATAACAAATCTCGAGAAGAAATCGCTGCCTACTACGTACGTTCTTGATAACGAAATGCTTTCGTTCCTCGTATTTGACTTTTACTTGAATACCTATATTATTCGACTGAGCTAGAGCCGGGTACATCTAACAGACAGGGGGCGAGATCTGTGAGCCTAGGTGGTCCTGGGTGGTCCAAAAGTGGCGTTTGCATGCAAAACAGAGAGAATGCAACCGAGATAGGCAGTATTAGGCCCACATGATGTCCTGTTTCTCTAGCAATACTTGGTAGCGGAAATGGAAGATGCGTCGTTGGTGATTACGTTTTTAGAGCTTCTTTAAAAAGCTGTACATAAAAATTCATTTAAGCAGACCGGGATGGCTAAGGAGTGATCCACAAGTGGCTTCTACGTCTTAAATACCTTGTAAAGAAGTCTTGGTATTATTCATTTCGAAGTAGCGTGTCTAAACAGTTACCTTTAAGACCTAAATGCTATGCTGGTAAAAAAGAGGAAAAAAAGAGGTTTGATAACTGTAGATACGGAAATCTACCTGAGCTATCTATTGGGTTTCCCGGTTTCTGTTTATAAGCGTGGGTGTAAAGGTTGTACATATATCGGAGGTCTATTACATCGTACTTGGGAAATGCCCCTTATATGGGTGACATAACGTCCTAACCAAGGTGCTCTTACAACCTTAGGGAACTATTACGGCTTAGTCGCTTAATTACAAACGGAAGCTTTTTACCAGAGTTGGCTGCTGATATTCCGTCATTGTAATGGGGAAGATTTGCGTAGATTAAGTACCTATCCTTTAAACCCCGTGTTAAAAGAGCAAGTCCGAGGCATATCAGGGGGTAATTAGTGTAAATATCCAATTTAAAGAAACTTGAAAAATAATTATTCTGGTGTACGCTAAAGAAAATGATGATGTACTACCTAGGTATGTTTAGTAGATGCTTACTATTGGGCTATAATATAATATGATAGTAATGGGTTAAATAGACTCACTGACGTATATATTATATAAGTGATAACTAGTACAATACTTTTCTGGACCACAAGTAAAAACATAGGTATGTTATGTGGGACTGAACAGAAGATCTCCCCTTGCGTCTGCTTGTTCTCGTACCCCCAAGGTGTTATTCTTCGATATTAGAATTCTCGTATGGACTAGCCGCTCAACAGGAGCAAGTGCCGGAAGCATACAAGCGATAGGGCCACAAGACCGAATACAGCTCCACCTAATTTCCCCCAAGGCTACTATGGTAAGGTATTTTTCGCCTTTAGCGGCTGCATTCACGCGACTGGGCCGAATACTATGTGTGTAAACGCTATAACGTTTGGCCACTTCCATCCTAGCTTACTCTCCGTAATCTATTGAGTATCAAAGCGAGTACCCCCTCGAAATCCTTCCCCATACCCGGAACCCTCACTACTTATAAAACGTCGCCCCATCGCCGTGTCAATGCCCGAACGATCGATCAGTGTTAGCTCCAAGAAGTTTAAGAAGCAGAGAGGAACCTTCAACATCCTACACTTCGTTCAACCCTAACCACTTTGCTTAGCGTTCTCTCTATGCCTCCCCCCGGTCATGTATTTCCGTATAATCATACAAACTCCACATGCCGTGTCAAAACTGTCCTAAGATGGGCTAAGAAGCGTGGGAACAACGAAGTTGTTCCACGAAGAACCCTAAGCTAATTACGGGAGCTTATGGCTATACACACTGGGAGCATCCTTTGTTCTAGATGTCTTATTTAGAACTCCAATAAACACCTCACTGTTAAGCTCGATAACTTCCTCCCGCCAACGTATCTGTTATGGACTTCAACGCGTTTCCCTCGGTCGCAAACCCCCTTTCGCTTTCCTGAAGACCCGTTGTCTACCTCCCTACGATAGCCCTTAGTAACCGCGACGCGGTTTTCTAAGGCTATGCTAGCTTTTGGGTGTTCCTAACTCCGAAGTCATCATCAAGCAAAGATGATGGCAAATTGGATTGGATTAACTTGGATTGCCTGTGCCCGCGTTTGCCTTTCTGTATAAAGTTCACGTCTACGTTATCCCCTACGTCTTCTAAGTCCTCAACACCACGCACTCTTCGCCTAGTTGGAAAGTGTGATGGCTGAGCGATTTGATGCCGTCCTGGTGGCTTAGTTGTCAAGCTATTTTTCAAAGGGGCAAGACGGTGACCTTCAATAGACGGAGTGAGAAGCCACGGAACGTCACAATAACGCGGAGGGGAAATTAGCCATTTGCAAGATCGCCACGAGTACCGCTAGGCTTCGCAGGATCATTCGCAGCAAGATCGAACTGGTTGAAACCACTGTTTCTTCCGATGATCTCTGATATGGAGATCCCCCATCCCAAGACGTGGAAGTTATCGAGGAAGTCAAATTCTCGAGTGGCAAATTCCATATCTGGTTTTGGGGGAGCAGGAATGTTGGTGTTACTATGAGGATTATGCAGGTCTAATGGGTCAACATTGCATTCCATTGTTCCCGTTCTGATGCCTGTAGGTTGGAGCCAGGCGAACGGATTGCTCTGCCACAGACAGGTGTAATTGATCACCTAAGCGGACGAGGTGCGGACTGTGACGGTTAAAGAAGCCAGGGACAACCGTTGGGGCCTGTGGATTGAGAAATATACGGATGGCATTAGCCAAGCTATCTAGGAGGTTAGCTCATCAAATAGAAAAATAATACGGAGAGTTTGGCGGCAAATAGTGGTAAACCCCTTAAAGTCGAAGATCGTGCTTGGTTATTTGTGGACGCAGACGTGTTTCTACGTTTATTCTCGAAACTAGGAATAGCCAACTACGTCACTATTTGGCCGAAAGTCATCACGATTCGAAAATCTGGAGAGCTCGGGGCTAAGTACTAGCCGGTAAAATTAGCTGTATTTTTCAACAGTGGTATGGTTATATCAAAGGTTCATGCAGTCTGATTTACTCGGTCCGGCGGCGAGTGATGTAAAAGTAACGGTAACTCTCCGAATACATATTTGAAAGAGTCATGTACGTTACAATAAAGCTATGTCTAAAGTAACTAGCCGCGCCTCCACATTCGGAGCGCATTCCGTCACGATATATTGGCCAAGAATATTGGAGCCACCAACTATCCATATATCTTATTCCAGTACTGTACTACACTTAAAATGAAATCCATACCTAGTAGTCTAGACGATGATAGAATGCCGTCTATTGATTTGACCCTAGCCCTTTGGGGTACGCGGAGTGGCGAAGTCTTGTAAGAATAAATGTAACTGAAAGTTGGAATACAACAAACAAAGCACATATGTCGCGGGTCGATATTTTTATTTCTTAAGATATCACTTACCCTATTAAAGTTTAACCTAATAGATATTATCGACTTGATAACTAAGTTGGGTTTCCATGTAGCTGATCTGTTATAAGTGACATTTTAAAATGGAAAAGCCATTTAAAATGAAGAAACAATTTACCCCTCCAAACGCTTAGTTCTAACTTTAAGTTGTCAAATTGTAGCTTTACATGTAATGAATGCTATAAACACACCATTAAGATGACGTCGTCGGTTTAATTATTAAAGGTAGGTATAATATAGCAAAGTTGATCTGCCCGCTTCAATGTTGTTCATCCTCTTTTCTTTACCGTAACACATGCTTACCTAAGCCACCTTTGGACTTTCATGTCACTCAACTGTATAAGCCATGTGGATATAAATAGGTGCTTAAGTAGTTGACTAATACTGTACCAAGTCTAATATTACGTCTTCATATTTGTAAAACTTTTAACCTAAGCTATAAGTTTGTTTCCTTAATAGATCGCTTTTCATCCACTTACCTACCTTAGGTACTTAGGTAAATAGGCGAGTACCTCTTGAATTTAATGGCAACCCTTACCTGGAAAGGTGAAAAGAGCTTATTTGAAGGTGATAAGTTTTAGCAAACTTGAATTCTCTTTCAGTAGCCGTTTCTATATAAAAATAGCATACGTTTGTTGTTAGTTGTGTACCCTGTTGCGACCGTTACTTTCCTACCGCATGAGAGCATATTAACCCTATTACGCTCTAGTGGCGCTAACTCTTAGGTCTGGTTAGGCTAGATTTCTAGGTATTCGTAAGTTAAAGAGAGGTATTAGACCATGTAAACGATTCTAGGCTCTGTTGACATCATATTCATATAGCCATCGTCAATTCGTAACACCATGTACAATATGACCAAATCTACGGTTCTTTAGTAGTTTGTCAACTGATGATTTTGGGCTCTCTCTATTGGCTATTCGGAGCCGGCTCCGGAAGTTTTTGCAGTCTTCCTTGTCGAGCCCCAAGTTTCTATCTATTTCTCTGGAAATGATCAAGTCACCCAAAATCCATGAAACCCACGATTGATGGCAACCTTTGCCTCTGATTGGTTCTGCTCTTCTCAGCTGATCTCCGATTCTATTGACCCTTTCGAGTTACTAAGTACTTGTGTATCGGGTAGCAAAACCGCATATGCTGTGTTCTCGATATCGGCCAAGTTGTGGATTATGGAGCCGAGGAACTTCAAGAAGCTCGCGCCAGCACCGGCCTCACCTAGTAGTGTTGAAACCTCTAGTCAGACACCTATATCTATACCGGGTCCCCGCAGAAACCTAACAAGGAATGTAAGTGAGGTTCCCACACGCCAACTAGGAGGATGTTCTTCCGCCCATAACACCCTCCATCATAGGCTTGCTCCCCTTGCAAACTCAAGAAGGCAAAGGTAAGAACACCAGTATGATGGAAGTGTTTCATGATTCCCCCTAGCAGCTCGAAGCTGAAGGTTTCGCAGTGTGACGGAAACCGACCCCTGTGCGGGAGATGCCAGAAAGCCGGCGATACGTGCCTTTACGAAGCGAACAAAAGGGACATCGGAAGATTACAGCTACTAAGCGAGTCCGACGCATCTAGATTGCAGAATTTCGAAGTAGTGTTTGGGATATTGCAAAATGGGAACGACTATGAAGCTGCCCACCTATTTTCTCAAATAAGGGCCGGGGAATCTATTGAAACGCTTGCGCCTGCATTAACTACTTCCCTTTTCCAACCTTCAGCTTCAACGCCGTCCAATCAAGTAACGTTAATATCAGGTCAGGCAACGGCAACTACACACGATGGGTCCGAAGACCCTTCTTCAACAGTAGGGTCGGAAAGTTTTATGGACCTCCTATTTGACCAAAACGGCTGGGCCCAGCCTGATGATGGCATTGACGGCTACGATTCCCAAATAGCCCAGGGAGGATCACACGGCCATGTCCCTGATACCACCCATACCGATGGCCAAAAAACCCAATTCTAGTCAACTACCTTGCACGACTTTCCAATACCTCTCTATCCGACCTCAACTTTAAGAAGTCGGTTCGGGAATCTTTAGCAATCTTCCATCCTCGACTAGTATTAACTGGACCGACGGATTGTAATGCTATCGACGGATATCCTATGAAGAATATATGGGGAATAACTTGCGTTAGTTGCCACCGTAACTCGAGCATAGTACGGCTTCGCGCTGACATAGGATATTATACTTCATAGTAAGTCCTTTTTGGTTTGAGAAGAATGCTTAATCATTCGGCAGGTGGTCAATTCCACTTCAGATGATAGCTGCTAACGTTTGAATCCTAGTTGCTAGTATAATTCGCAGACCCCGGTCTTACTCGTTTACATCGGTAGCTGACGCAAGGCTCCTCTCGTCTTTTATTGCCATATAAAGATATCTAGGAATGATGGAGACTGTAAAATACCTAGCTGGGGATTAAATATAAAAGGGGCTGGGTGGCAATAGTCTGGATACATATCGGGGTTAGGTTAAAGATGGGCCAACGGTCACGCGAACATACCGCATTGCCACCCCGTTTAGGTATATGATGGTCAACACGAACCTCGAGATCTACCTAGGAGAATAGTCAAAATACATGACCCATACTCCGGCGGCTAGTACGAGGTATCTTTTTGACATCTTTCTGCTCAGAAAGATGGCTGCATTTATGCGAATACGCAATGCGCTTCTCAGACGGCCCTTGAGCCGACCTGATCAGCTGGCAAGGAAGATTGTCGGACTATGCCGAGGCCATTCGCGTAACGAAGAGAGGAGAATATCAATTACCGCCTCTTGAATTATAGGATTATATTGCACTAGCAGTAAGATAGATCTATATACATAAAAATAGTAGTTCGAGAGCAAACAACACCAACGCTACATTGACTTCGTGACCCCGCAACTATTTTTTTGATGGTCTCCCCAGATATCAAGTCTACGTACTTGTCAATATACTGCATCTTTCCGTCGCTAAGAATATGCGGCTCCTATTATTACATGCTCATGCCTGGATTTATATAATTCGCCTAATAGAAGTGGAACTTGTCGACTAACACATAGTAAATCGACACTTAATACGCTAACTAACGAGGACTAGCTAGAGTTTCGAGAAGTTGATCCTGGTCAAGAAAATCGGGAGCGAAGCGAACTTACGTGGTTTTTGACTATGATTGCTCACCTAAGGCGTACTATGCTGTCCAGAATAATCTCCAATGTGGGACTTCGTAGGACATTAACAAGTTGCGCCTCCGCGCCTCGTATTTGAGCGCGCATGCCGTACGTTGCCTAGCTTATTGGAAATTCTTGTTATGAAGGCAAATACGATGGCTACGTAATTATGAAAATTTGTCGCAATTCTTTTGTTATATATTGCATAAATCACAGACTTTTAGGGACACGATGACTCCGGATCTCGCGTGTTATAATCCGAGCAACCACTATCCTCGAAATTGAAGCCGAAATTGGAACGACTGTATTAAACATAATAGCTATAAATATTTACCTATGACAGTAATAAAACATATAGTTGATTAACGTATGTTAGCACAGTATACCTGCTAAAGAGACGTAACTGTAGAAGTAGAAGGTAGAGGAATATACCCTCCGAGTACACTGCGAATAACTCACTGGAGAGTGCCGAAATTTGGCGGCTCAATTTGGCGTTGTGACCTCCTCGTTACGCCAGGGGGGGACATGTAGGAGACCGAATGTCACGACGGTGTTATGTATGTATGAGCTTGTAAGTCCTGGACATCTTGGGCCACGCACGTGATACCCAACAGACTCCTCATAGACCGGACCGTCTCCGGGGCACCTGATTGGCCGGAGACTACCTAGGTCCAATTGGGAGTTGACTATGTACTATGTACCTTCCCAAGGAAGAGGTGCATGCAGGTAAAATTATGTGGGATAATTACGTGAGCCACAGTTTGAATATACATATGTACTTACAACCCACTACTATGGTATGATGGGTAAGTAAAACCCCTGTCACAAGTCGCGCGCTAAAGTGTGGCCTATGTTGCTGCTTCTTGACTTGTTATAGTTTAACGCATACTTATATGCGTACAGTAACGAATCCAGAAAAATCAACACTTATAGCACTTATAAATCAAAACGCCAGATTTAAGCCTATTCAAAGATTATTTTCATATGCATTTTCTGTATAAAAAGCGTATAATGCGTTAATGTTTTGATGATTCCTTTTTTGAATGTTGAATGTATCTTTGGAAGACCCTGGGTAAATTAATACTGATTTAGTATGGTGGTTTGCCTAACCTATTCTGGCGGTACCTAACAGGGTGGTTTTATTTTGGCCTGGTACCATAGTAGGATGTTCAATGTTATTTGTGGGGCGCCAAGCCGCCAGGCATCAACATCTTTTGAATACGGCTAGTATGTATTCCCACATACAAATTACTATGGGGAGGTACAAAAACAACTCTGCCAAAAGCCCCCTTTTCAATTTCAACAACACGATTAGTATTACCTCTCGTCAAGCGATTCCTGAATAGCCTCCCCGTACGTATAGTATTTCAACACGACAACGCCCCCTCCCATACAGCCAAAAGGACCCTGAAAAGCCTTGACGATCTCGAGATTTTTACGGTTGAATGGCCCGATTGAATGGCCCCCGGACAGCCCTGATTTAAATCCTATTGAAAACGTGTGGGCTTGGATGAAAGACTGGCTACCTAGATAGTAATTACGATTTAGAGTCGTTGACGTCACGGGAATTAAAACAGGCTATTGAGGCTGTTTAAGAGGCTGTCCCTAAAGACTTTAATGTATAATAGGACTTTGAAATGCCGTAACTCTGGGGGTAGACAATTGAAAAATTAGATTATATTGAAGATGAGGCTATTCTCAAATTATGTATCTTACAGTAGTAATTTGTATGAGAGGTTACATACTAGCCATATGAAGATATGTTGATGCCTTGATGCCTGAGACCCACTAAATAACATTGAACATCCTAGTGGGTTGTAAGTACCTACAGTTAGAATAAACCCCTTTCTCTAGTTAGGTACCTAGGTATCCTGATAGGTGCGCCACCTTTTTTGACGTCCTTCTGCCAAACCCCGCGTATTATGGCTGAGTTAGGAGGTACATAAGGTGGCGAAGGCAGGTACGTAGGTACTTACGTAGTCAGGGGTCATCGATCTATAGTAAGCACGCGATTCAATTTTCTGCTCATCACCCACATCACACAACTACGCGAGTAGAAGACTACGTCGCAGTGATGAGCCACGGCGCTAGTATTTTTGCAGCATTAATTCGGACTCATCACATAACAAGTCGCAAGAAACTTGCGCGCGTGAAGAAGGCCGCTCTTCTTCATAACTTGTATGTGCTCATCCGAAGTGGCGGGTCGCCCGGTATCATGTACGCTGAGGGACCTGATGAAGCCTCCGTCAGTAGCTGGGTCAATATGGTCCAGGCTCTGCGATATAAAGACTTCCAATGCGCACGAAAGCCGGCCGCTCACCAGGTCCGGAGTGCTAGCTCCCGGCTAAAAGACGGAGGTTTTGAAGAAGTTGCCTCCGTAACTGAATTCGGTGAGAGAATGGAGCAACGGGGTTTAGGAAGCTGGTGGAGAATCGGGAGTGAGTATACTCCGGCGTTGGTTTTCTCCTCATTCCGGCTTCGCTTCAGCTTCAGACATATGATTACCTTGTGCAATTAAGATACACGAGGAGTCTGTGATTTGCAATTACTCTAAGAGGATTTAGTGATAGGTATTGCTAACTTTCAATATTGTAGTGGGCTACGAAGCATCTGATTAGCGGTAATTTCGCGACTCTATGAACGCTGTACGCAAATTACTTAAAGAATCGAAGAATTTGACATTCGATACTCTATTGAGTTCGTTATCTCATCTACTATAGCTCACAGCAATACACTGAGGCATAGCTACCAGGCGCGGAGTCAATCTTCACTTCCTATACGGATTGCCAATGATAAAGAGCACAATCCGTTATTACCCCTGAAAGGCTATGCAATATTGAAACCCCGACAAAACCCGAAAGGTCAATTATGAGGCATGGGATTATTGCCTCACCTCCTAAATGACTAATACAACGAGAGCATGTTATATGCATTTCGTTCCCGGCGGTATCAACTCCCTCAAAAATTAAACACAGATTTTAGAGATAGTGACGTTGAATATTCCTTTCGGCGACGGAATATTTACTTGAGCTAACTGCTTGATTCGCGTCAGTAGGGTTTTCTAGTTGAAAGATCCACACCTTACCTGGTCTCCTGGAGGCAACAAGACAAAAATAGAATGAGAACAGGTAGCTCCTCATACAGGCCATCACATTGCCGATGAATTTGTCTAGATGTGATGCGCGCATTGAGATTGTGGGGAAACCTGGAGAATTTATCCGCAACCTGAGTTGTTCAACCGGTCCAATGACGTCTACTGGATTTATTGAGGTTCAGCTTTTTCAAATGAAGAATCTGGCCGAATGCAAATAGACGGAATGTACTTGTCCTTATATTAGCGCTCGTGGTGTGTTGGTTTTTGCGATGATAGCCTTTACGAAAGGGGGGCCGGCCTGGAAACATAAAACCCCTGGCTACTCTCAGCTCAGATCGTCATTCAAGTTGCCTTTATGAACTAAAACTGCGAGGTTAACCTAAGTCCATATCATTTTGGGGCGCCGTTTTACCAGCTTGAAATAAAAATGAGGTCTTCGCTTTACGCAGCGCTTGCTGCGGTGGCTGCCACCAAAGTGGCTGCGCACTCTCTCTTCCAGGCTCTTTGGGTCGACGGGGTCGATATGATAAGTCTTGAGCTCTCTTTAACGACTGGCGTCAAGCTAACCTAGTTAGCACGGCGCCCAATGTGTTCGTATGCCTGGGTCTAACAGTCCTGTCACCAACGTCAACAGCAACGACATTCGATGCAATGTGGGTGGTACCAGAGGTGTCTCAGGCAAGTGCGCCGTGAAGGCTGGTTCCATCGTGACAGTTGAAATGCACGCGGTATGAAGTTCCGTATCAAAAAACTTCGAGATGGGGTTGTTGACCATAATAAAGCAACCTGGTGACCGAAGCTGTGGAAGCGAGGCGATTGGCGGAGCCCATTATGGCCCGGTGAACGTATATCTCAGCCAGGTTCCCGACGCTTCGTCAGCCGACGGATCGACCCCATGGTACAAGATCTTCGCAGATTCATGGTCGGCCAAAGGCTCGGTCGGCGACGCTGATAACTGGGGTACAAATGACCTCAACTCATGTTGTGGAAAAATGGATGTCCCGATCCCAGCTGATACACCTGATGGTGATTATTTACTTCGTGCTGAAGTCATTGCTCTGCACACGGCATCGTCAGCAGGTGGCGCACAATTCTACGGTATGTATTCACCCTTTTTAATGTTAAACCCCATTTGGAAGGTATACAACCGCTAACGCTCAATAGTAAGTGGTGATGATCCTATCATTTCGACTCGAAAAAGGATGGTAGGGGCTAGAACTACAGAATTACAAGGCTAACATAAGATGCTTTCGTATATTTAGATGTCGTGCTACCAGCTCAGCGTCACTGGCGGCTCGGCCAAGGCTGCTGCCCTGCCGGCTGGCGTTAGTATTCCCGGCGCCTTCAAGAGCAGCGACCCCGGCATCCAAATCAACATCCATAGCAAGATAAGCAGCTACGTGAACCCGGGTCCGGCCGTCATCGCCAGCGGTACCACGAAGCAGGCCGGCTCAGGCTGCTCGGCTGGTTGCGCGAAGACTTGCGCTGTTGGTTCCGGACCCGTGGGGACGGCTATTGGATCTGCCCCCAAGCCTACCTCGGGCGCTGGTGGGGGTCAATCCGGATGCGCGCAGGCTAGATACCAACAGTGTGGTGGTCAAGGGTACACGGGATGCACGACATGTGCTGACGGCCTTACTTGCAAGGAGGTCTCCGCGCCATACTATTCCCAGTGTGCTTAAACGCGGATGGTTTGTGTTAGGTATCCTGAGATGAGTCTTGTACTTAAACTTCACTCGTTGATTAATATAGGGATGCTTCATACAAGCAGTTTAGGTGTGAGCATCATCTAACTATTAGATATCGTTTCTTGGGTCCTAAAAGACACCTAAGATATCTGGTTTGCAACAGTTTATCCCTATTACATTAGGTACCTGTTTTTACTACTGTTAATTCTACCACCTACCGCAATTGTAGCACGTTACACAGGCACAGATACCTAATACCGTGTAAACGGTAGAGGCTATTTATAGCTTCCCGTTTAGCCCGTCCCTCTCCCTCGGGTATTGTATACGTATTAAGACTAGCCCCCGTCACCTGCAGCTACCCGTTCTAGCCCCTGCAGGGGCCAGACAAATTCCCCACAGAGACCGCCGAACACTCCGACGATCGCTCTTATCAACATAATTCAATCCCGCCTCTTCCACCTCATTCATCCCTTTCTTCATTACCTAAGGTACCTAACTTACTAGAAGGACGTCAAAAAAACTGTGGCCTGCGTATCTACCAGGATTAGGTAATTATTAGCAGAGGTACATACCTACGTCAGTTATTTTCGACGCCTTTCCGGTACTTCAGCAGCAACCAACCATGGCCCCCCTCAACGAAGCCCACAAAACCCGCATCATCTCCCACATGAACGCCGACCACTACCGGGAGTTGGAGCACTACCTGCGCGCCTTCAACGGCCTATCCGCATCCGCTTCCCGCGGCGCCCAACTAACCGACATGACGACGGATACCATGACGATCCGCACCGCCTCCGGAGCCACCCACTCCGTCGCCATCAACCCGCCCCTAGCATCTGCCGCCGACGCGCGCGTGCGCCTCGTCGACATGGCTACGGAAGCCCTGCAGAAGCTCGGTCTGAGCGACATCCGGATCACGAGCATTACGCGGCCGCGGGGCCTCGGCGCCGCGACGTTCCTCGGCGTGGCTCTGTACATCGTCTGCGTAGCCACGCTGCCCCTAGTCCAGCCCGGCACCGCCGCCTGGACGCTTTTGGACGCGTACTTTCCCTTCGGGGGCGTGGCGCGGTATTTCTGGGTTGTGCGCGCGATCCTCGCGCCGACCGTGGTGTTGCACCTGTTCGAAGCGTGGTGGATGGCGCGGTCGCGGTTGGGAAAGCATGGCGTCGAGACGTTTAGTCGGTTGTGGCTGTTGTGGGTCGGGGACGTTCTGATGGAGGGGTATCCGGCCATAGTACGTTTTGACGGGCTGGTGGAGGCGGAGCGGAAGAAGAAGGAGAGTGGGAAGCATTGAGGGGGGTTGTTGGGGGTGTTTTATCCCGGGTGTAATGGCTATGCGGAGGGGGGGATGGAGAATGGGGGGAGGGGTAGGTGTCGTTATACGAGGTACTAATTAATGCTAGCTAAGTACGCGGCGATGTATTTATGATAATCTTAACTAATGAAATCAACATTGTGAAGTGATAATGAGTTAGGTGATTAGCATTGGTTGTAAACACTTCGTACCGTACCTACAGGCAAAATAATGTTTACAACAGGGGGACTAGGTGTTCACGATGATGAGGTAGACCTTCATATAGGGGTTACGACAGACTCTAGATTATGTCACAATCATACGACGACTTGTCAAGGTGGGAGGGCAGTCCTATTATATTCCGTGTCTACTTGCTTAAAACGTAGTCCAACCCCCCTACCCCTTCGTAGGATGGAATTGCTCATCAACCCACTACAGGAAGGACGGGATGGATGAAATACCTTGTCGCTACCCTCCAACGTTCCCGGACCGACATGTCCCAAAGTCCCCCTCCCCCCCTTATTCCAATTCGACCCAAACAAATCCAAATCTCTACCTTCATAAAGGTCTCCTATACCAACTTCAAATGCCCAACGCCCGATATACTCGCCAGTCTGGGTATCCCAGTAGCTATATGCCATCGCGGGAGACAGCAAATCCCAGATTCCAAAAAGTAGGTGTTAATAAAAAGGTGGTTGTATGGATGATGGTAGAGAAATTGTCCGAGTGTGGTGTATTCGGTGGGCCTGGTCAATTGTCTCTGAATCCTATAGTCGAGGGCTTCAAAGGTACCTATAAAGGACTAATTTTCTTTTGTTGCGTATATCTTCGTTGGGAATAAGGGCAAGAGGCCTTTAGGCAGTCCTTGAAGGTGCATCTCTCGCGTGGTAGGAGATGACACGATGATAACTTGTGGTGGTTCCGTCGCAAGGAAGATGTTCGAATCGAGCATGTAGGTTGTGGCATAAGGATTTGGAATGAATTCCTTGACCATATATTCAGCACCATTTACCATTTTCAGACCTTGATGATTGTTTTCTGTTAATCCCACAAGCATGTCTTTCGTCAATAGTAAATAAGCTGGTATCTTGAAATTCGAATTGTCCATAGTATCAAATGCTTGTCGCATCGCGTCGCTTTTATCCTTTGCCTCGCATTTGAATGAATGACGGGACAGGAATAAAAGTAGGAAACAAATGCGTACAAGGTACACGTAGCATGGTTAAACGGCAGGTACTAGGGATCTTCTCCTTCGCAATATTGGCTTGACAGTCTTTGCATATGAGAGTTGTTTTGCTTCTCCCACGAGCGAAACATTTCGAACAATAGAGCCTGCATTCAGTTTTTGTTGGGTTACTGGAGAACGATTCTGGCAACCGGTCTAAAGACATGCTGGATAGGCATTGTTCGACGCAAGGCCTTAATTTCCAATTTATCAGTGGTTGGGAAGGGCGAGTGACATCTAATATGTGGGCAGAGAGAGAACAGTGGGAAATTTGTGATTAAATAGATCTTCAGTCGTTACCGGAAATTTTTCGGTCCGAAGTGATAATAAGTGTTGAACTGCGCCTTCTGGAATACGCAATCGCTGACAGCCGTCTTTGTTCACGACGTAAAGCATCGAAAGAGTTGGAAGGTTGCTGGGGCAGGCTTGAATCCATCCTTATATAAGTCCTTCAGAAATTCCTCCTTGGGCATATGGCGGCCCGGTAGGTGAAAGGCCCCTGACCGGGGTTCCTCTAGGGTTAACTTGATGCCGGGCCCGTCCATAGCTCTACACCAAGCCTCGTCGCAGTCGTTGTGGAGAGAGAAGAGTACTCTCAATCCAGACTCATTCACCTTGGTAATAGCAGCCCTTATATCCTCTAGCTTTTCGTACCTCCGGTCATATTGCCTGAGTTCTTGAACTTCCAGAATGAGGCCCTGTTTTGGAGTTCTTCGTACATGGCCGAGGATTTCCGTAGGACTGAGCCCCTTTTCGTAAAGCTTACGTGCCTCCTTACCCTCAGGTTCTTCGGCCTTATCGGGACTTAATAGGCACAGGAGCTCGGCAAACTCGAGAACGAGGCCATGCTATGATGAAATCTATCAGTAACCACTTCTAAGACAGGCTAAAGGAGTTGATAAGGGATATCGCTTTTACTCACATATATATCAATGACCCCGAGGAGTTCCTTGTGTTTGGACCCATTGGTCCGGTTGTCGACGCTGGTGACGACACGCTGAAATACCACATCTTCAGTGTCCGCATCTAAGCCGCTGAATACATCATCCATAATTAGGAGGTTAGACTGCAGGTAAAGGCACCTGGCTAGTGACACACGTTGCTTCTGGCCTCCGGAAAGAGTTATGCCATTGCTACCGACATTCGTCATATCCTTCAGACGCAGTCGTCGCCTCTCAATCCGCATCACGTACATTTTGGAGAACCCTCTCATGATTCGCACTTAACTTTCGCCTTTCTACAAGCACTACACGAGTTACTTCGAACGGTACGCTGCTTCTTTTTGCGTGGCTTGAGTCCGCCATCGTTCGGTCCCTGCTGTTGAGCCGGCATTGGAGGTGGCTGACTCGGGCCTAGCAACTGTCCCGGTGCGAAGTTCATGTACAAGGCTCGGGAATTGTTAGTCCTCTAAACGTGATAATTGTGTAGATAATCATGGTACTTACCAGCTGTGCCCTCTATTTGCGAGAGTGTCACGGTCGAATATTTTCGCTCGTTCTTAGTAACCATAGGAGGTAAAGGGAGTTCGCTGGCGATTTTAGAGTATAATTGTTGATGCTCTTGGTTTAGTTGTATGAATAGTAATAGAGGGAGGCGCATGTTGCTGGGGTACAGTGGTCGAAATAGATAATAACTGCACCGTTGATGAAAAGGCGGTAAGGGAGTTGTCGATACGGTTGGGTTGTCTTGTTGTTTTGTTTACTTGAGGACGTGAGGAGGTAGGTTGTTTTTCTCGTTGAACTATATATATGTTGGGTTTGTGCTCTTATATGGGCGGTATTTTGCCTTTAGGGCTTCAATGATGGTTTGAATAGCTTGATAGCATTAGGTAGTATTCTAATGTAAGTGAATTTAGGTAAATATGTCTAGGAATATAGTATCGTCAATTGATTGGCTTAATACTGATATGATTAATTTTCGTTGGGGGGTTAAAGAGTAGGATGAGGTGGAAGATAGAACAACTGTCCAGCGACAACCTTTAAGGGATGCTGGTGGCATGTTGCCCCAGAAACAGGATACGTTATGTTGTGTGGGACTGGTCTTGTATTGCGAGCGCGTTGTTGAATCTAGAAAGACTACGGGACCACGTCTGTTTATATACTCGGCCCTGTGGGCCCTGGGGCCTCGTTTCTTCCCTAGATGCTATCACGGTGACTCATGATAGTGGCGTGGACAATTTATTAGGGTTAAACTTATGTTGGTGTTGAAGGTTCTTGTTACTGTCTACGTGTAAGGAGTCATAAATTTAAATTTTGCACTATTAGTGCACTGGGCGATGATCCCATATCATCAACAACTCTTAGCGTACCTTCCAAACATTAGGCTCAGTAACGAAACGTAGGTATATACATCATTTCCTCCCGTAATAATTATGTCTTTTAAATCTAGTCTAGCTATTACGTAGTTACTTCTTAAGGTAAAGCAGCTACTCTTCGAGTTGCTCTTCCCCTAGATCGACAATTCTTACCGGTACAAATGCAATTACGAAGCCATGATAAAGTGGAAAGATCCTATTTATTATCCTACCTAAAAACAAATAGAAGTTCAGGTCCGTCACCCACCTAACGATCAAGTAGGTACGATACAGAAATATTTAATTTGTAAGTTCCGATCTCGTGTTAGCAAGGTTCAATCCGATGTCGACTGAATAAGCCAGTGGTTCAAGCGCCTCCGTTTTGCGGTCTCGCGCGAACTAAACTATCGGCTTGGGCTAAATGTCGAAGGATTCGATGTATGTGAGCCGGGACGTTTGCAGGTTTAAACGTTAACGTTAAATTTTATAATCAACAGCCCATCAGACTGGTTAATAGAACACAAGTAGCCAAGCCTTTAAGATAGGCGGTCTTAGGACCAAGAGTCAACTCAATATAATCTTACTTAATAGCCCCATGACTGCCCCCAACCACCTCGTGGAAGCCTTCCATTTGCTATTTCAGGAACGAGCTGAATATATTGATTATAATTTCTCTGCTGTTTTTGAAACTCAATTTCTTAGAAGATAGAAATGCTTCATATGGGCTGACGAATACAGCCGCCGGATGACGTAGGGGCACATAGGGTTTCCGGCTCACAGATGGAGAAGAGGACCCAGTACGAGTTAATTCAGGCTAGAACTTGGGATGAGTCGTTTATTGGGCTACCTATGTGCAATGAGCAAGCTAGCGGATATTTTCCTTAAGCTATGACGAAGTGGTGGCCTGGTTATCTAAGTAGGTGTAGGCGTACTTAAAGCATTTGAAACTACTCGAGACATAAGGAGAATCTTATCTCCTATGAGTAACAGCGACGGATAACGGTAGGGCTGCTAAAGAAGTTGCTGCGATCAAAGATGGTAGTTTCATCGTAACAAATACTCTATGACCTTCGTACTTGACCTAAGAGAGAAAGTAAATATTGATATTTAAGCACCGGGTTACCCGAGGAACATCAGTGCGGATGAAAGGCTTTACGCGCCATCATAATAATTCGTGCATAGAAGTGATTGATGCTTCTGTATATACGCTATGACTGCCCTCTGGTATCATCGAATTATGCACGTCCCTAGAGAAGACCGTATTACATCAACTTTAGCCTGAACTCAACCTGCCAGTTTTTACCAGGTGATCGAAGCATCTGGTAAGTGCCACATAGCTCTAAACTATAGATTGTGTAGTTGGAAAGTTGAGTTCGTCTAAAAAAGGGCTAAACTTTGCCTAGGATGATGCTGGGTACGCGACGATTCCGCTGAACCATATGTTGTTTACATCAACATTTTCCTCTGAATTTCTGTCTAGTATTCAGGATTTGGATAGGATTTCAATTTAAAAGACCTTAGTCCTATATATGATAACGGGCTAATTAGAATAACTCGCACCAGATAAATTTGAGCCTTGGGTTATAGCTTATTCTACCATACGTAACCCACTCGTTGACTAGACCCACATTAAGCCACCCCTCCTTTATTAAAAATCACCTATTATATAAAATTGTAATTAAATTATATAAAATCGTAAAAATATAAAAATAATTATATTTAATAAAAATTTAATTAATTAAATTATATATTTATTTAAAGGTTTAATAAACTTTTTAAACTTTATTATAAAAAATGGTAAAATAATTAAATTTATTTTACTTTTTTTTTTTTTTTTTTCCTTTTTTAAATTATTATTTATAATTACAATTATTTTATTTATAATTAAATTAAACTTTATTATTAATTAAAAAGTTAAATTAATATTATTATTAAAAATTTTATTTATATTTAAAAATTTTTAATTAAAATTAAAGATTTTATAATATTATTTAAATTTAATTTTTTTTAATTAAACCTTTAATAATTTAATATATTTATTTTATAAAATTAATTTTAATTTAATTTTAATAAAAATTTTAAAAATAATTTTTATAATTAATTTAATAAATAAAAATTTATTTAAATTATATTTTTTAATTTAATATATTATATTTAACGATTAAATTTAACGTATTAAAATAATTTTACTATTTAAATTAATATTTAATTTAATATATAAATTAACTTTTTTTTTTAATTTTTAAATAATTTTTTTAAATTTTAAAATAAAATAAAATTTTAATTTAATTAATAAATTAATTTTTTATTATTTTAAAATTTATTTTAATATTTTTATATTAAAAATATTACGTTTAATTTTATTATAATATTTAATAAATTTAAATTTATTTATAAACGTTAAATTAAATAAAAAATTTAATAAAAATAAATATTTATAATAAAAAACTTTAAAAATATTAAAAAATTTATTATTTAAAAATTAAAAGTTATAAAATATATAAAAAAAAAAAAATAAAAGATAATATTATAATAATAATAAAAAATTATAAATTTATTTTATTAAATAATTAAATTAATTATAATTAACAATTAAAAATTTAATAAAAATTATAAAAATATATAAATAATATTTAAAAATAAATAAATTAATTTATTTATTAATATATAATTTTTATAATTATT